GGGCTATAGCTCCCAGGTTTCTTGACCACTAGCTATTATAGCCTGATTAACAGGAACAGAAGTCTAAAACATCTGAAGTGCACTAGGATGGAGAAAGCTGGTTGACAAGGTAACTGAATCTGTCCACTGGTCTTGATGAAACATGTCTTTTTAGCATGGGGAGCTGAAAGGGAGTGTCAGTACTATATTTCACAGGGTCGCCTCCTTAGATCTCACTGAATAATGCCAGAAGCAATTACTCAGACTGGTGAAGGAGTTTCCTAGCCTTGTGTGCTACCAAATCCACACAGAAGAGTCAGTCTTGCACAAATCTGCCTTAGGAGCTTTAGCCAAGCATCTTCTATTGGCTGTCCAAAATGCAAAAACTGGACATCCTGTTTTTGAGCATTCTGCCATCACAGTTAAGGAGCTGGTTATATGGAATCCCCCATTGGAACAAACTAATAGTTGCATAATGGATAACAGTGATGTCCTGTGGAACTTAAAATCCTTGGGCAGTCCCACAGAAAACACCATGAGTGTCAAGCGCCTTTGTGTCAACAACCCCCATAAAGATGGACTTCAAGCTATTAGGAATATCATATCTGATGGTGCCACATCTGTGGTACCTGGTGTCCACTGGCAACTCCATCTCAGGGCACAAGGCCTGGTGCAGCAGTGGTCCCTGGAACTAGCTACCACTACCAGGAGTAAAACAAATGCAGTCTACTTAGTTCTCAAGTGCATTTGGTCCTTTTGGAACATCGAGGGCTTCTCTGGCATGCTTTGTCCACAACTACTCTGCAGCCCCCCATGTTCTGGGGAAGCACTGTGAAGTAACAGGTTTTGCACAACATGTGGAGTGTTGAAGCAGCATAGTGTGGCCCAAATGTCGTGTGCTCCTTGTTGTTGTTAGTCGTGAAGTCGTGTCCGACCCATCATGACCCCATGGACTACATTCCTCCAGGCCTTCCTGTCCTCCACCATCCCCCGGAGTCCACTTAAGTTCACGCTGACTGCCCCAGTGACTCCATCTAGCCACCTTGTTCTCTGCCGTCCCCTTCTTCTTTTGCCATCAATTGTTCCCAGCATGAGGCTCTTCTCCAGAGAGTCCTTCCTTCTCATTAGGTGGCCAAAGTATCTGAGTTTCATCTTCAGTATCTGGCCTTCTAAAGAGCAGTCAGGGTTGATCTCCTCTAGGACTGACTGGTTTGATTGTTTTGCAGTCCAAGGGACTCGCAAGAGTCTCCTCCAGCACCACAATTCAAAGGCCTCAATTCTTTGGTGCTCAGCCTTCCTTATGGTCCTACTTTCACAGCCATACATTGCAACTGGGAAAATCATAGCCTTGACTTTACGCACTTTTGTCGGCAGAGTGATGTCTCTGCTTTTTAGTATGCTGTCTAGATTTGCCATAGCATTCCTCCCCAGGAGCAAGCGTCCTTTAATTTCTTGGCTGCGGTCCCCATCTGCGGTGATCTTGGAGCCCAGGAAAATAAAATCTGTCACTACCTCCATTTCTTCCCTTGCCGAATCAGCCTTGCCAAACTCCTTTCTCCATTTTGAACCAATCAGTGGTTCCGTGTCCAGTTCTCACTGTTGCTTCTTGACCCACATATAGGTTTCTCAAGAGACAAATAAGATGGTCTGGTACTCCCATCTCTTTAAGAGCTTGCCACAATTTGTTGTGATCCACACAATCAAAGGCTTTAGCATAGTCAATGAAGGAGAAGTAGATGTTGTTCTGGAATTCCCTAGCTTTCTCCATGATCCAGCATATGTTGTCAATTTGATCTCTAGTTCCTCTCCCTCTTCTAAATCCTGCCTGTACTTCTGGTAGTTCTGGGTCCACATACTGCTGGAGCCTAGCTTGTAGGATTTTGAGCATACCTTTGCTAGCATGTGAAATGAGTGTAATGGTGTGGTAGTCGGAGTGTAAACTGACCTTTTCCAATCCTGTGGCCACTGTTGAGTTTTCCAAATTTGCTGGCATATTGAGTGTAGCACTTTTACTGCATCGTCTTTTAGGATTTTGAGTAGCTCAGCTGGAATACTGTCACCTCCACTAGCTTTGTTGTTGCTCAGACTTCCTAAAGCCCATTTGACTTCACATTCCAGGATGTCTGACTCGAGGTCAGTGACCACCCCATTGTGGTTATCAGGGACGTTAAGCTCTTTCTTGTATAGTTCTTCTGTGTAATCTTGCCACCTCCTCTTAATCTCTTCTGCCTGTGTTAGGTGCCTGCCATTTTGGTCCTTTATCATGCCCATCTTTGCATGAAACATTCCCCTCATATATCCAGTTTTCTTGAAGAGATCTCTGATCCTCCCTATTCTATTGCTTTCTTCTGTTTCTTTTCACTGTTAATTTAAGAAGGCATTCTTATCTCTTCTGGCTATTCTCGAGAATTCTGCATTCAGTTGGGTGTATCTTTCTCTTTCTCCTTTGCCTTTCACTTCCCTTCTTTCCTCAGCTATTTGTAACGCCTCCTCAGACAGCCATTTTGTTTTCTTGCATTTCTTTTTCTTTGGGATGGTTTCAGTTGCTACTTCTTGCACAATGTTGCGAACCTCTGTCCATAGTTCTTCAGGCACTCTGTCTATCAGATCTAATTCCTTAAATCTGTTTGTCACCTCTACTGTATATTCATCAGGGATATGATTTAGGTCATTCCTGCATGGCCTAGTGCTTTTCCCTACTTTCGTCAATTTAAGCCTACATTTTGCAATGAGATGCTCATGATCTCAGCCACAGTCAGCTCCTGATCTAATTTTCACTGACTGTATAGAGCTTCTCCATCTTTGGCTGCAGAGCACATAGTTAATCTGATTTCTTTGTTGACCGTCTGGTGATGTCCAGGGGTAGAGTCATCTCTTGGGTTTTTGGAAAAGAGTGTTTGCTATGACCATTGTATTCTCTTGACAAAATTCTACCAGCCCGTGCCCTGCTTCATTTTGTACTCCAAGGCCAATCTTGCCTGTTATTCCGGTTATCTTTTGGCTTCCTACTTTAGCATTCCAATCCCCCATGATGATAAGGGCATCATTTTTTGGTGTTAATTCTAGAAGGTGTTGTAGGCCTTCATAGAACCGGTCAACTTCAGCCTCTTCAGCACCAGTGGTTGGGGCATAGACTTGGACTACTGTGATGTTGAATGGTTTGCCTTGGATTCGAACTGAGATCATTCTGTCATTTTGGAGATTGTATCCCAGTACTGCTTTTCCTACTCTTTTATTGACTATGAAGGCTACTCCATTTCTTCTGAGGGATTCTTGCCTGCAGTAGTATACCTGATGGTCATCTGAATTAAATTCACCCATTCCTGTCCATTTTAGTTCACTGATTCCTAAGATGTCGATGTTCAGTCTTGTCATCTCTTGTTTGACCACATCCAGCTTGCCTTGATTCATGGATTTTTGCAGCATTGGACTCTCCTTTCACCACCAGATACATCTGCAACTGAGTGTCCTTTCGGCTTTGATCCAGTTGCTTCATTCTTTCTGGCGCTACTAGTACTAGCCCTCTGCTCTTCCTCAGCAGCATATTGGACACCTTCCGACCTGAGGGGCTCATCTTCTGACATCATATCTTTTTGCCTTTTGGTACTGTACTTTTTGCCTTTTGGTTTTGATGGCAAAGATACTGGAATGGGTTGTCATTTCCTTCTCCAGTGGATCACTGGAGAGCTCTCTGTTATGACCTGTCCTTCTTGGGTGGCCCTGCACAGCATAGCTCATAGCTTCATTGAGCTGTGCAAGCCCCTTCACCATGGCAAGGCAGTGGTCTATGAAGTAGGGTGTGCTCCTTAGTGAACCTTTTACTCTCCCCAGCATGTAATCTGAGTTTGAGAAGGTAAATGATTTGTTAAGGACTAAGAAAAATGTTCAGAGTGGGGAAAGGAAAGGATTGATCAGATTCTTGGAACACCACAATAAACTGTTGAAAGTGTCAAATGAGTGGCAAAGGACAAACAAAAGGAGAAAATTGTCATCTAGGGAGTACAACCCTGTCCAGACTTTTGGTTCCTTGAAGAGCTACTAGGTTTGCGGTAAATTTTCCTGGTGCCTGTGTAAGGCCTCCTCTTCGTTGGCACCTTGTAATGGAGAAACAGGCAGGACTTGCTGGGAACTGAAGGGTTACCCCTGGGCATGAAAGCCTTACTGTCTCAGCCAGGTAGCAAGAGAAACCAGGTGCCAAGGCCATGGGAGTCTTGGTAGTGATGGGCATGCAAAATGCCCTAAATTACTTCCAAGCCATTTGCACCCACTGGAGATCGCAGAACTGAAGGGTAGATAAGTTTCACCTGGGTACTGTCAGGAGCTATCACTCCAAGAGTCATCTGTTTGATCTAAAAGTGGGGAGCTAAGGGAGATGAGAGTTCCTCTTTTCGGAGAGGTTCCCTGTTGCTGCCGGAGGCTCTGTCGAGAAATACTGCTCTATTCTACTGGGAAGAAGGCTACATGGGTATTGTATACTGTGTTAGTGGTAGGAACAGCTAGCTTTGTTATTTTCAGTCCAAGAAAGCAAATGCGCCTGGGGGTCTTGCGGGGTGCTGATTGGAGTGGATCCAGTGAAACTGCTGCTCTCCAATATCGCTGTTCCCTTCCTTACCCTTGTGTAGTGTGTGTTGTGTATTGCAATGTTTTAATACCCTCCACCCCTATTTTGTCTGTTGTCTTTTAAATAACTCTGTCTTGTCTGCAGGGTTGGGTTGTTGTGTACTGAATGCAGTGTCTGGCCCTGGGAGTTTGGGGTTCAGGGAAGCAGGTTAGGCGAAAGACCCCTCTAGGAGCTGGGGACTCAGGGGCAGCTGAACACTACACACCTGTACTGGTGCAGCCTTGGTTCAGTCTACGTGTCTGCCTTGAGTGCCCTTATTTCCTGGGTGACTTGCTTCTGACACGTGCACTGGAAAGTATCCCAGGAGGTCTCTCATCCATGTACTGATCAAACCTGTTCCATTTTTGTAAGGCTGTTGCATCATAGGCCTTCAGACCATATGTGTTCACTTGCTTTTCAGAACTGTCCGTGAAATTCAATGGCAATGAGGAGCAACTTCAAGAGAATCCCTGCAGGGAAAGGCCCTTATTCCGTTGGATGTACAGACCTCATGACTGGCCATGGTATTCAGGTATCTGTTGTTGTTTCTGCTATTATTACTGCTGTTGTTGTTAGCACACACACCTGAAACAGCTTATAGAAAATAAAACAAAAACAAATTGGCTGCAGAACTAGATCCAGAGAGTGCTTATCAGTGGCACTTTCTCAAACTGGAGAGGGTTCAGTGTTTATCACCGTTTTGATTAATAATTTGGATGAAGAAGTGCAGGGGACGTTTATCCAATTTGCAGATACCACAGATTAGTTAGAGTAGCTAATGCACTGGAAGACAGAAACAAAATTCAAAGTGATCTTGATAGGTTGGAGCATGGGGATGAAAACAGCAGAATGAAATTTAATAGGAGCAAATACCAAGTTCTGCACCTAGGAGAAAGAAAGAAACCAAATGCATTGCTTGCAAGATGTGTCATACTTGGCTCAAAACAGTACAGGTGAGAATGATCTCAGCACTGAATATGAGTCAACAATGTGATGTAGCCGCAAAAAAGCGAAAATAATATTTTGGGCTGCATTAATAGAAGTATAACTTCCAAATCATGCAAAGTGCTACTTCATCTTTACTCAGTGCTGGATAGGCCTCCTCTTGAGTACTGTGTCAAGTTCTGGACACCAGAAGTAAAGATAGATGCAGAGAACTGGAAAGTGTTCAGAGAAGGGCAACAAAGATGAGCAGGGGACTGAAAATACGGTCCTGCTAGCAGAGACTGATGGGCATGTTTAGTTTGAAGAAGAGAAGACTGAGGGGAGATAGGATCACACTCTTCAAGTTCTTGAAAGGTTGTCACAGAAGGGAGGGCCGGCATCTTTCCTTGATCCTTCCAGAGTTCAGGACACAAAATACGGTGGTACCTCAGCTCACAAATGTCTCAGTTCACCACCAAATTGGGTCGCAGACAGAAATTTCAGAAAAATTTTGCCTCGGTTTGCGAACTCTGCATTAGGTGACGACCACGATCACGGCCGTGTTGCTGCATGAACACGATTGCAATTGCATCCCTCTTACCTGCGCAAGCACGATCATACCTGTCTTCCCCCCTGAGCATGATCGCGATGCACCCATTTTCCCTGCACGAGCGCGATCGCACCCATTTTCCCTGCACGAGCGCGATCGCACCCGTCCCCCCCACCCCGAGCCTGATTTACTATTGCACGATTATCATTTGAACTCTCCCTCCAAACAATAACCTCCCCCACCCACCTAGGTTAGTGTTCTCTACTGTACTGTACTTTGTTACTTTGTCTCAAATTTTTCTGATTAAGAATATTTACAGAACAGATTAAGCTTATTTACATTGAACCTTATGGGGAAATTTGACTTGGCTCACGATCAGTTCGGGTCATGACCAGAGTCATGGAACAGATTAAGTTTGTGAGCCAAGGTACCACTGTAATGGACTCAAGTTACAATAAGTCAGATTCTAGCTGAACATCAGGAAAAAACATACTGATTGTTAAAGCAAGCCAACAATGGAACTAATTGTCTAGGAAGGTTATGGGTCCTCCACACTGGAGGCATTCAAGATATAACTGGTCAGCCATCTGATAACAATGTTTAAACTTGGAGCCATGCATTGAGAAGGGAGTTGGTTCTGATGAGCTTTCTGGCCCCTTCCAACTCTGCAATTCTATGACTCTGGGATTCTAAGACAAAACAGAGGGCAAAATATATTTTGTCTGATAACCTGAAAGCATCCAGAAAACATGTAGACTGGCATATTCTTTATTTAGTGTTATAATTTCCATTTCAGAGAGTAGAATCAGGGCAGGGCAGGCCAAAACGTGCATGTCTTGAAATTTATAGCCACTAGATCATGGGTCCTCAAACTACAGCCCACGGGCCGGATCCAGCCCACAATGCCCATTTATCCAACCTGCCTCAGAGGTTTTGGACTCTCGGAGAAAATGATCTCTGACCAAGTCCGAAACCTCTGAGCCGGCGCAGGCATTCTCAGAAACTAAGCAGAGAGAGAGAGAGAATGAGAGAGAGAGAGAGATCTAGTGCATGGCCAATTTGCAACAGCTGAACTGCACATGTGCCAGCTCCCCCCCGCCCCCATAGCACACATCTACAGAACGGGAAACAGAAGAGAGGCGGGCGGAAGAGAAAGGGCGATGAAGACGAAGAAAGGATTGAAGGTAACAAAAATACAACTTTTTAAACCTATTTTTAATTATGCAAGCCCGGGGGCGGCCAGCTGCCCTCTCGTCGAGCCATGGGTGGCCAGCAGCATGGCCTTCTCCTCACAAGAAAGCTGCCACCTCACCGTGCCCACTGTCTCGCCATGCATGCACCTGCTGCTGCCACCCTTCAACTGGCCTCCTGTTGAAAAAGTTTGAGGACCCCTGCACTAGATGTTCCATTTTATTTTTTAGCATTTTCACATGTAAAATTGTATGTAGTGCTGCCACACAGTGGTCACAGACAAAAAATATTGATAGCACTGCACCAGAAAGAAAGAACAAGACAGGAAAGAGAGAAGAGCATATTATTGTATTCGCATCTCAACTTTTTTCCTTTTGCAAGGAACCCAAGGCGCCTCTCCAGTTTATCCTTACAACAACCCTGTGTGCTAGTTAGGCTGAGAAGCAGTGACTGGCCCATTGTCATTTGCAAAGTCATATAGTGCAAATACACTTGGGAAAGTCTAGGTGTAGATTTTCTTAGAATATGGGAACATCTGCTCTCAGGTGGACATAAGTTATGGAAATCAGCATTCTGTGAGAGCCAGTGAGATCCTTCTCTAGTGGTTCACGCAGTGAGAGTGTGATAGAAACGTACAAACATAAATACAGGACTTCAGGAGGACTATTCATGTGAAGTATTCCTTCCCTCTTCTCTACTGCAGACATTGAAGTTCCAGCTCCATTCATATTCCACTTCTTTGTAAGGAACAGAAGCTCTCACTTCCTAACAATTCATAATATTTGAATGGGCCTTGAAATACAGTAGAGTAAAGAAGGTGGAGTGAAGCTGAGGGTGAAATGGAAATTAAACATAGATTTCCTACTAGCCACCTTTGAGTCCATGTGGGATCAAGTGATAAAGATTATCATGGATCCTTTGGGAAAGGCTGTGTATCTGTATTTTCTTCCTTTAAAAAGGAAAGAAAAAAACAAAAAAATGAAAACAAAACAAAATGAAAAGGGAAATAGAAATGAGCAGTTTAAAAGCCATTATTGAATTCTAGCATCCCATAACCATCTGTTTCAGCAAAGAGTGCTGACAGGTATCATTTTATTATACACAAAGCAGCACAAACAGGTGATGGTCCCTGCATTAACTTCTGCACCATATCAGGCATAAATGCATTCTCTTACTACTTAGCCTCCATGCCTCTTTTCCAGGGGTCCTCAAACTTTTTCAACAGGGGGCCAGTTGAAAGGTGCCGGCGGTGAGTGCAGGCCGGCAAGGCGGTGCCGGCAGGGGACGCAGTCCGGTGCGGGGACAGGGCACAGAGAGCATTTTCTCCAAACAAGTCCAAAACGATCCCTGCGCAAGCAAGCTGCCACCGGGCGCGCACATGGCGAGTCCAAAGCCTCTGAGGCAGACTGGATGAATGGGCATGGCAGGTTTGAGGACCCATGCTCTATGCTTTATGGCTCAGGCATGCTTTTTTTGGGCTTGTTGAGAACACTGAAGTTGAGGACACTGGAGTGCTGCCAGAATTCTCCCTGAAGGATTTGAAGCCAAGGACTTGTCCTCAGATGTGTTAGGAAAGAACAGCAAGGGGGCAAAGATTAGTCAACAAGGACTGCAATAACTTTGATATTTTTAGCTGAGTCAATGGGTATCTCTAGAGTGTGGTTTTTCCAGGAATGTCAATTTGCACTAGAACCTGGGAGGTCTCCCTGGATTTCTTTCTTAAGTGTCTTAAATGAATCACCTAAGAAATGCTTATTAAATTTAACTAGAAGGGTGGTAGAATACCTGAATTTGATTGTAAAGACAGAAATTACAAGAGCCCCTGCTCTCACATTTAAAATCTAAAAATGCACAGAAAAACAGCTTTCTCGCCTTTTTCTTTGTAACTAAAGTGGCCTTGTTTTTACTAGAATAAACAAAAACCAATGAAACAAATTCATAGATGCTTATTCTGAACTAGTGTATTTTTTTATTTTGTCATGAACAACAGATGAAGCAAAAACAAAGAACCACAACTGGTCCTTTTTTCATTCCTCCCAAAATTAATACACAACCCTATAACAAGGTAGACTATAGGAGCAATAGAATTTTACACAACAGAACAGTGGAATGCCAGAAATACAGGCCCAGTAACTATACAGTTGGTCACAGGGTTGCAGAGAGGTTTGTGGTATAACTCTTTTCCCTGATGTGTTCGTTTTCTATATGATTAATGCAGTTCCCACCTGCAGAATGAAGATGTGAAGTGCAGGAAATGCCTTACCACTTGATTCCTAATTGTCGAAACTCTTACAAAGCATTTGTAGGAGAAATTGTGCAGAAATTGTCAATCTTTTCTATTTTCTGTAGAATTTTTGTCAATTGTACAGAAATTGACAAAATACCACTCCAGTGATAACAAACTTTAATTATTTTGTGTGAGAAAGGGAAAGGAACCAAATGTGAACCAATAGTATAGTTTCACAATAAATTGATTTTGTTGTTGAGAAGTATAAGAATATTTTAAAAAGAGATTAGGATCAAGGCAGAGCCTCTGTAACATCTTAATTCATGTGTTTTTTTCCTTTTAAAACCTTTGAAAATATCTTTCAATTACTAATTTTGTTATTTAATGGTAGGGAATTTTTTTGCGTCTGTATTACCCTTGCCAAAATGGTACAAGTAGTGAAGAAACAATATGGATTCCCAAGAAAGAATATTATCATGGACTATCTGATTTCCTTAACATATATCGGACATTGGGAGAGTTCCTTTTTGCATCTTATGTTGGTAAGTTTGGAGAGAGGATATCAATCCTATCAGCCTCAATGAGGAGTATACATTTCTGTAGACATTGGGTTTCAGTTCCCAGCTCTCAAGTTAAAGTATTTTCTGGATCTGCCATGTAAAAAGAATATGGCTGTGGTGGAAATCAACAGCATTTCAGTTAGGATTGTTGGGGTGCAGTCCTGTGGTCACTAAGAACCTTGATGCAAAACATGCTCTGAGGTCAGCGCTGGAAGTCTGAGTTCAGAGTGCTCTTCTCTGCCTTTGCAGCTGCGCTGGAAAGAGCGGTGCTGACAGCAGCACTGATGTTGGAAAGCTATGTTGGGAGCTGGTGTTGGGAGCTTTCTGGGGGGTGGAGTGGGGCAGGGAGTAGTGAGGCTCTGCCCAGATATGGTGCATCCGCCTTGGCACTTCAGCCTGCCTTCCAAAGAAGCAGACACAAATGATATGCATGGGCAGAGTTGGTCATCTATGTCTTTTCCAGGGCATAGGAAACAGAGGTGACCCTCTATGCCCCTTCTGTCCTCTGAATTCAGAGGGTTACATTGGATAGTGCTGTCCAAAAAACAGATTCAGTGAAGAGGTTCCCATGCAGGAGCTGTGTACCTCTGATATGTACGTGGAGAATTGTCCTTTAACTGCCTACTTCATAACCATTACAGAATTTTGCAGTATCTATGAAAAATGAAAGGCATAGCCGCATTTTGGAGCAGAAAAATAGGAAATTTTCACATTCAGTACTAAGTCCCAAAATCAGCATCCTGCTTTGTATTTGGATTTTCTTCCTAGCAAAAGCCTTTTGACCAGGAGATATAGAGGGGAAGTTTGCATGGTTATGGAGTGTTCATAACTTGAAGGTTCACCAAAATCTGATTCTGAGTATCTGAGAGATGTGAAAGAATCTGTAGCTGGGTTAGTAGTAGTCCAGTTGTGCAATTATTTTTTTTAAAAAAATTTTATTAAGATTTTTAAACTACTAACTAAAAACATCAGTCATCAAATACATCGGACGTACTGGGTCAGCCCCCTACTACATATTTGTTAACATTCCATAGTCATAATCAAATCCATTTATAACAACTTAAAGACATCTTTAAATCTAAGCCAAGTCCCGTTTCTCCAGCCAATATTAAAAAACTTCCCAAGTTTGATAGAAGTCAGTATCTTCTTTCTCCTTCAGTGATAAAGTTAATCTATCCATTTCTGCACAGTCCAGAATCTTTCTTAGTATCAGTTCGTCGGTGGTTAATTCCTCACTTTTCCAATATTGAGCAAATGCAATCCTCGCTGCAGTAATTACATGTAACGTCAAATACATTTCCTGTTTGTTAATATCTTCCGGTATAATGCCTAATAGGAAAACTTCAGGTTTACAAGCTAAAGGTTTTTGTAGCATTTCCTCAAGCCGTTTATGTATTTTAATCCAGTACTTTTTCACATTGTCACAAGTCCACCACATATGATAAAAGGTACCCAATTTATGTTTACATTTCCAGCATCTATTTGACATATTTGGAAACATCTTAGCTAATTGATTTGGCAACAAATACCATCTATAAAACATTTTATATAGGTTTTCTTTGTACAAATTTGCAAATGTTACCTTAATATTTCTCTCCCATAGCTTTTGCCACTTTTCTAATTCAATATTATATCCAAAATTTTGTGCCCATGTTATCATAGTTTCCTTAACCTGTTCATCTTCCATTTTCCTGTCAAGTAAGAAGTCATATAATCTTTTAATCATTTTCTCATCTGATTTAAGCATCACTTGATCAAACGCTGTTAATTCCTTATGAAACCCCCATGTTTTACAGTCTTTAGCATATCTTGATTGCATCTGTACCTTATGCCACCAAGAAATATTAAATCCCTATTCTTGTGTTTCTTGATCTAACTTCAGGCCTCCATCCTTATCCACAATATCATCGTATCTTATGATCCCTTCAAAGTTCAAAGCATTTGGAAACACAAAGTCTTCCATAGGTGAAAGCCATCTTGGTAGTTTATTATACAATTTTAGCTTTAACTTTTCCCACACCGACATTAATGATCTTCTAATAAAGTGACTCAAAAAAGACCCATGTGACCTAGCCTTCTCATACAACATATAAGCATGCCAACCAATTTGCAAATCATGATCTTCAAGATACAAAATTCTCTTATTTCGCAAAGTTATCCATTCTTTTAGCCAAGTTAGAACAGACGCTTGGTAGTACCACATTCAATCAGGGAGACCAAAACCACCGTTCTTTTTGACTTCCTAGAGTATTTTTAATTTAATCCTTGGTTTCTTCTTTTTCCAAATAAATCTTGAAATTTGGAAGTTTAAATCATCAAAAAATTATCAATTTTTACGGGAATAATTTGGAATAAAAACAAAAGCTTAGTTAGTATATTCATTTTAACAAGTGCTGTTCTTCCCATCAAAGATAATTGCAAATTGGCCCATGCTTCCAGATTGCCCTTAATATCCTTCAATAGTCTATCATAGTTATCTTCTTTCAAGGTAGTACATTTGGCTGTAAGATATATTCCCAAATACTTAATCTTTAACAATCTGCAAATCTACTTGTTCCTGGAGCCTTTCTTTCTGGTCTTGTGTAAGATTTTTAACTAACAGCTTTGTTTTTTCTTTATTTATTTTCATCCCCGTAACCTCAGCATATTCTTCAATCCGTTGCAGGATTTTAGTCATTGTTACTAATGGTTCCTCCATTATAAAAACCAGATCATCTGCAAATGCTGCAGTTGTGCGATTATTAATCCACCAGTTCAGGCAAGGAGAAGAAACATCCAGCCTGTGGACCGAATGCAGCTTGCAGAGGTGCCTTCCCAAGCCCCTCCCACTCTCTCTCCATAGGAAAGAATTCTTGCTGTTATCTCTGATCAATGATTAGCATTAACAACAGGAGGTGCCCTTCATGTTCTGCGTACTTGGGATGGTGAACGAAGGAGGTATCCAAGTTGGCGTGTGTCTGAAGGAGTGGCTTAGTCAGGGTGGCTGTTATATGCTGTGTGCAGCCCTGATGGGGATGCACCACCTTGGCCAGTGCCTGGAGGAGCTGGTCTTCCTAAGTGCTGGCTGAGTTGCGTTCTCCATGGAGAAAGGCAAAATGGGAAGAGCAGTGTTATGATGGACAGCAAAAGGCTGAGGTTTTCTGTAGAGGCCAAGAAGTTATGCCCTGCACTTAACCCAGTAACAGAAATGGCTGTTCAGGAAACCTCATGTGTTGACATTTCGCTGCATTTGGGATTTGATTCAGAAGGAGCTTGTGTGAAAGCGAGCAGCAGGTATCTGGTTTAGACTGGCAGACCAGCTTGGATTGCCTGAAAAATGGAGATCCAAATGCAACGGGGGGTGGGGGGGGGCACATTGAGCAGGCTGGTGAAATTCTTAAGCATTTTGGGGCAAGGGCCATAAATATTTTAAAGTCCAGGAAAAATGCTTTATCTTTTTTCCTTTTCTGTTTAGAAATTAGTTTTGCTATCTGCTTTAGGTTCAAGGCACCTCACTTTAGATTTGAGGATACTTAGAAACAAAAGCGCCTGTCAAGGATGATAGACAGTGTATTGATGATGATGAAATATGGAAATAAAATGTAAATCAGCAAAAAGAAAATGACACTCTTCTGTATTTGTTGCCTCATCGGTTCCCTGAATAGGCCTCCATGGACCTCCAAAGTTGCCTGGATGAGTGCCACCTCAGTGCCTCTTCCCAGGCCAAGAATGAAAGACAGTGCCTCTTGCCATCTATTTAATCAAGTTTCTCTCTCCCACTACTGCTGAACCTGTCAGTATGCCCAGGCACCCCACCCCCTTCAGCAAGGCAAGCCGTTTCACTCCCACTGCAAGGGTAGCTCTTTCCTGCAGAATGACTGGGGAAGGCAGCCTCAAGGCCACCATTTCTGGCACCCTTCCCAAGAGGCTGAGGGCCCTAAGGCCTTGGCATGGCTTCCAAAAACTATTCTGGCTTTTGGACCCTGGGGAAGCTCACTATTACCTGCTGGACCTTAGTGAACTCCTTGGGACTTCCAGTCATGCAATACACAATTCCTGACAATTCCAATCCAATCCGATAGAATAATAGAATAGTAGAGTTGGAAGGGGCCATGAAACTCATCGGGTTCAACTCCCTGCTGTTGCAGGACACCAAGTCACACCATCCCATCCAGGGCTGTTTTATCCCACGGTGTACCACAGATACCACAACACAACGTCCTTCCACAGGTATTATTGTGGGGGGAAACATGGCTGCCTCTGCCACTATGCTGGGATGAGCCATATCCTCCACCTTGTGACTTGAGCATTGTAAATAAACAAACCTCCACCATCTTAAGAACGTTTAACAATGCAAATCACACAGCCTCAAAATGATTAGGAATTTCTGTACACCACTTCAGAGAAGTACACAAAGTGCTTCCCTACCATTATAATATGGAATAGTGCTGCCAAACTTGTGAGCTACTTTTAATATAAGCAGCGCTTGCAAAAGCTGAAATTTGCATGAGCCTTAGGAACGGTTTGTGATGGGAAAGAATGCGGGCATCAAATCAGACATCCTAAATTCTTAAAATTGCCAATGATACCAACAGATACTTGATTTTGTCTAGGCTCGGTGACGTGTCCTGCAAAATGGAATGCTACAATCAAGCCTGGGGAAAAATACCCCCTCATTATTTTTTCCCATGGACTTGGAGCTTTCAGGTAATATGATGCTTTAACTCTGGTGCTGCCCTGGTGCCTGCCTTGTCATTTTTTTGGTGCCTGGTTAGGAAGGCCCTTTATCAGTTCTTTTAAAAATGTACTTGGATATCCAGGGGCCTGAGGGGAATGCCCACCCGGTTTTTCTTTTACAGGGTTATTCTTCATTGTCTGTTTTTAGCTGTTTCCATTTTTAATGTTCCTTTTTTGATAAGATTTTATTGTACTGTTTAATGTTCTGCTGTGAGCATCAGTTATTGGGTGGTCCCAAGCCAGGTGAGCAGCTGGGCCTTCAGTGGCAGCTGGGAAGGGGAGTGTTCCCCATGTGGCTGAGAGAGCGCAGAGAGACAGCGCTGCTCGCAGGCTCCCCCACCCCCCATGCCCAGCCACAGCACTGGTGCTAGACATCCTCCCCAACTGACCCCAGCCAGCCAGCCCCCCTGCGGGCTGCTGTTAGCCTCCAAATTTGAGAGGTAATGTGACTATTAGCTAGAATATGGTGACATGATGTTACAGGAGTCTAGAAGCTTCTAGCTGATAAATACCTGTCTCTACCAGTGTATAGGAGCTCCTTGGAACTGTAAATAGCAAAGCAAAAATTGGGAGTTGTCTCATACACCTGAGATGTGACAAACACCAGAAAAACAGCCCAAAATATTAACCTCATTTTATACGCAAGTCGCCTTATATGCGGGTATATATGGCACATTGCGTGGCCTGTCCCAAAGCCTCCAAAGAGGATGACCTGGCAGGTTTTGCTGCAGCACAGTGGCTGACAGGTTGACAAAACCTGCTTTACATGCCTCTCATCCGGTGGGGTGGAGGACCTGTTCTTCTCCCAAGTGCTAAATTGGTACTGGGCAAACAGGAAGTGGGGAGGGACCCCACTGCCACAAGGCTTTTTGAAAGCCTGCCAGTTTGGGCTGTGAATGTCTGGGTGCTGAAAGAAAGGTGTCATTTAAGTGTTGGGGTTGGGTTGGGCTTACTCTTACCCCAGAAGCCCTGAAGGGCGAAAATCCCTGTATCAGTGATTACTGTTCAGAGGGCTGTGGGGAAGCCAGTGGGCTAGATGGGGACCCCCATAGGCCACATCCGGATTGCAGGCTGGAGGTTACCTATCCCTGTAATGAGCAATATTAGGATAAGAACACAGGGTTGCAGTAAGCCCTCTTTTGATTAGTGATTAGTGAAAAAGCATGGGCAAGCAGGATCTCCTGTAAATCTCCTTCTCTCCACCTTACCTCCTATCCCAGGGCTTGATAAGAACTGTAAACTGCATTGCAGCATACGTACAAAGATTTCTTGCTTGAGCTTGCTTGTTTTCTTTTCCCTCCTCCCTTCTCTTTTTCCTTTTATTGTGTACATTAGGTCATACATTTACAGATAGGGACTGTACTTTTTAAATTTTGTGCATCATGATGATGATGATGAAAAAGAACAGTGTAGCATGTCAATCACTTTTGAATTCAGTCATGAGCAATTTAATCTGAATTCATCATGTTTATACCAACAGAACTATATATTCAGCAATTTGCATTGAAATGGCATCTCAGGGGTTTATTGTGGCTGCTCTTGAGCATAGGTATGTATACTGCCGAAGAAACATCTAGACTAACATCTGATGAAATGCTACACGCATAGTGTAAGCAGAGAAGATGAATGGACCATAATTAGAAAGTAAGCCTGGATTTTAAAAAGCTGACTTTGGGCTGCTGGCCGCTAACAGTGCAATATGTTCCTTTGTGTAAAATGTTTTTGAAGTAGGTCCGTAGGAGGTGTACGTAGGGATAGTGTGACATCAGGACTGAGCATTCTCATAGTTCTTTCAGGAAAGATATGACATAAAATACTTGGTAGCCTTCATTGTGGGTGTCCCACAATTTTTAAATTTAAAAAATTAAACTTTGTAAAGCTTTTTAAATTTGAAGAAGTGAGGAACTGAAAAGACAACTTATGTTGCAATCTATATATCAGTTTGGGAGGTGCAGATAACTTTTAGATTTAAACTGGATGAAATCCTCAAGCATCCATGATGGCAGTATAGCCATTTGTGTGTTGATTCTGCAAAAATATTGGCCTAATAACAACCAGCAGCAACAACATGAATATGCATGGTTTTTATAGGTGATAAGTGTCAACTGTGCTGTTAATGCCATCTAGCCATTAGTCAGATTGAGTGATTATTCAAACAGCATTCCCCGAAAAGATCGAAAATGTTAAGATTTTGCAGAAAGTATCAGGAATGATTCCTTGAGTTAAGATACTAGCTAACTGTAGGAATACACTTACCTTTGGTGTCTCTAATTGTTCTGCATAAAAATCAGCTGATTCTCATATAATAGGGAAGGAGCTAGACCCATGGCAGACCTTCATATGGACATTTTTAGAGTAGCCCCTGCACTTCTCTTACTTTACTTTCCTAGAAAGTAATCTAAATGTGGGACATTCTTAACATTATAATGCTAGCTAATCATGTGCACCATCTTACTTCAAGTTTTCTTTGGTAGTCTATCCTATACTTAAATTACAAACAGGTTTTAATTGTGCAATCAATACGGATTTCTGTTAAAACATAAAGGACAGAGGAGAGATCTTTAGGGGGAAAGGAGTGCACCTGGCTGTCTTGAAATGCCTGAACAGCATTTTCCTTTGTTTTAGAGACCAATCCTCTTCAGCTACATATTTCTATAAAGAAAAACCTGATTTAGGAGGGAAAGGGAAAACCCTGGAGATTGATAAGGAGTGGATCTATTACAAAAAATTAAAAGCAGATGAAGATGAATTTTCACTGCGTCGGCAACAGGTATTTGAGGAAGTCCTGAAAAATTAGCACAGTCCAGGGAGCATAATTGCTGGGGTTTCTCTGTGTGTGTCTGGGCGAGCGAGCATCTGTCTTTGCCTTTGTGTGTGCAGTCTGGATTGTTTAGACAATTCCTCAGGAGTGCATAGTATCTTTGGCTCAGCCACTTGGTCCTGCATGTGATGGGTGAAACAGTTTTTAAGAGGGCTGAAGAAGGTATGTTAGAGCCATCATCACTCAAAGTTTTCTTTGTCATCTCTAAAACAGATTTTGGTGACTTTTTTTAAAGCTTTGTTAGAGTCAAGTGTGTATGTGTACCAAATCTCTCCAGTAAACATGGCACTCACTGTGCAGCAAATCACACTGACTTTCTGAAGGGATGCGGGCTAAACTTGCCATTGGAAGTATAGGGAGAATCTCGTTCTAAATCAAATATCTGTCTTTCACATGTGTTCTTCCAGAAGATTCTTTTCCCCTGGGGTACAGGGATTGCTAGAAAGTTGAGATGCCATCTGGACCTAGCATTTCTAATGCCTTAATCAGTTGATCCCAAATCCTGACAAACTTGTTTCCTCAAGACCTGAGCACTTGCCATTCAGCAGTTCTCTCAGAAGTAATTGATAAAAGGATTTTCTAAGATTGCTTTGCTTTGGCAATTTTATAGAAACACATCCTTTTCTTGTCAGACCTATTTTTAGTCAAAAGACTAGGAGTTTTCTTGGTCCTTGAGTGGTTCAATGATGCATACAAAAATTCCCTCCAAGGAGTCCTTTCAAAATACTGGATAGAAGGAAAAGAATCTTTTCTGCAGATTTTTAAAAAACATTTTTAAAAAACATTTTAAAAGCTGATGGGTCTATTTCCAACATGTGGCCCAGCTTCTGGGCAAGATAAGAGGGTATGTATTACTGAGACCTGGCTGGAGGAGCTGGGAAAACCCTGTCTTTTAGTAGTGGCCTTCTGGGTATCCCATGGAGTTCCAGCATAAGAGACATGTACTGGAAAGGGCCACTACTGTGGCCTGTGGGAATTCCATCTCTCTTTCCAGACTTTTTGCCCACTTGTGAGCTAATATTGAGTGAATAATGTGTGCTCAGGACACATCAGGGATACTGCTCGTGTAGGCTGCCCCACTGCCCATCAAGCTCTTTGTCTGGACCCTTTGGAAAGGTGGTGAGCAGAAGGAAACACCCTGGGTGGGTATGTATGTAACTGCAACACACCGTGGTTGGTGGACCTCCCCGCCACAAGTGCCCACAAAGAAATCAACAGACGATTGGCTGTTCATTTGTCTCTGTGGAGGAAAAATGTCTTGTGCAATGGGGACGATGGGTGAGTGGCACTGCTCCAGCTGGCTGTCAGACTGGTTGGACAAAGGTCCATCCTGTACCTCTGCTAAAAGCCAAAAGGGCTTGCAGCAGCAGCAGCATGAAATGAGCGAACTGGGACAGATCGAACTGTCCGATCGAAGGAGTCAAACTGTGCCTTGTGCCACCAGTGCAAGTCCATCAGACTCACAGCAGCAGATCCCACCTATGGCTTGAGAGGAGACCCCTTGAGCGGGAGGTGTGGTGGCCTCTCTATTCAGCATCGCTGACCTGAGCTCAGGACAGTGGAGTGGGATGCACCTCTCCTCCTGCTGCTGGGAGGAGGCAACTTGCACACAGGCGGGGCGAGTTCGGTGCTGCTATCCCAAGCATGGCACAGTGGAGCAGGGGCCACAGAAGCTTCTTACAGCCTCTGGGGCACTTTGGGGCAGCTGTCATGTGAGCTCTCTGGCTAGCTGCTTGACCAGGATGGCAGGGGGATTTTGCCTCTCTTGCCAAGTGGCTCACTTGTTGCCATGCTTGACCTACAATGGGTCACGTTATCCAGGTTTGGAATACCCTCAAAATGTCGAGGCTGTTTTTTAAAACCCCCTATAGTCATTCCGAAATTTGGCAGGCTTGATTTTATCAAAAAGCAACAACTTTTCCTTCAACTTCCACCCATTTATGTTAAGAAATGTGTAAGTTATCAGCAATTCTTATTGAAAAATATATAAACATATATAGATTCATAGCACGCATACTCCTGCACCTGTGTCCATACTCTGGTAGGCATAATTCTCTCCTCTGGAGCCCAGAATAGGTCCAAACAGAAGCAGGCCATTTTCCACAGCACTGAATAGGGCTCCATCTCTGTACATCTCTGATTTTATCATATCAGCTAGTCCTGGTTAACGAACTGGTTGCTGCACTGTTACAGACCTGCTAGAGTTTTCAGTGATCCAGATGAGAGCTTGGTGGAGCATAGATAATTGTAGCTTGGATGTGACACAGATAGGGTCGTACCTGGAGTGCTGGACTAAGCTGGCAAAAGGTACCGCATGCCACATAGACCACCTGGCCTCCAGTGACAGTCCTGGCTGCTAGCGTCCCCCCACTTTATGAATCTGATCCCTCAGGAAGTGTGCAACCTCCTGCAGAACAGGTTGAATCCCTGCCTCAAACCACACAGTGCCAACACCTTTGTCTTGCTCAGATTGAGCCTCAGTGTACTGGTCTTCATCCATCCCATTACTACATTTAGGCACTGATCCAGAACACACAAAATAAATATGCAGAACATTCTCTGAACTTGTTAAATCAAAGGCTTCTTAAATCTGGAAGGATAGTGGACGATGTCTCTTTTTATGTAGGTACAGCAAAGAGCAGATGAATGCATGAGAGCGCTTGACCTCATGATGGACATTAATTCTGGAGAACCAATTGTGGATTTGATGTCATTGAACTTTAACTGGATGCTTTTAAAGGTAAATGTTAATTGTAGCTTTTCCAGTTGTTGAGTTTCCCTGCATATGGAATGTATGTTGCTTCTGTACCACCATGGCCTTTGATGAAACTCCACCCGCCCTGTGTCTCTAGTACTTCCCAGTTCTTCATCGTGGTAATCTTCATAATTATAATCACGGTATCTTCATAATGCATCACACATTATGGGTGCTGCACCTGCGCAGTGCCTGTCGCTGGGAAGATTTAAGAACTTTAATGGTTTTTGGTGGGAACTCCTCACCCTCCTCCCCATAGTATAAATGGACAGAGTGCCTGCCCTTTCCCCTGTCTGCTTGCGACCTTCGTTCGCTGTGCCTCGGGCCTTTTCTCTTTGCTTGTCTCCTTGTCTTCTCATTCTTTTAAATCTTGAACTTGTCTTTTTCTCTTAAACTCCACTTTACAATCCTAAAACCTAGTCCGTCTCTTACCAAACCCCTATCTTTATTCCTTGTTCTCCTCCCGCTTCCCCTTACCCCTTCCAAACAACAAAAAATCAAAAACCGCTCTATCTTCCTTCTCTCTCCACAAACTATCTCTGTTCGCTGTTTCTCTTCTCTCTTCTTCTCGATGGCACAGCGGGAGGCCTTCCATAAGTGCTCACAGTGTGGAACCAAAATGTCTCCCACTGATCCTCATGATCTGTGCCTTCTCTGCCTTGGAGAGAAGACTTTCGAAATGGATCATCGAGACGATTGAACTGACTCATCGCCTTTCAAAACTGGACTTACCTGTTACTCCAAAAGGACACCCCACAAGAGCTGTCACTGCTTCTGCTCTCCGTGCAGGCATCCCCTTGCAAAATATCTGCAAAGGGGCCACATGGTCTACTCCATGCACTTTTACGAAGCACTACCGCTTAGACATCAAGGCCAGGCAGCACTGCTCCTTCAGCCACAGTTCTCTAATGATGACATCGTCCTGCCTCTGGGTGTGGTAAGCTTGTTAATCAGCCATAATGTGTGGGTGATTAACAGAGACCACAAGGACAAAAGTCAGGTTGCTTATCTGAGTGGTCATCCATGCATTCACAAAACCAGCCCACCAGCCCCACTCGATATCAGTGACTGGGTATACTATATAACTGGGTATGCTATATTTATTTATATATACATATGAATCCTTTTTCTTATGAGTCAGGGTCGATACTGGCCAGCTCCACTTGGGAGTGAACGGACGGTATTTGGCTGACTGGGGAAAGGGTGGACATGCCCACCATTTATGCTACAGTGGTGTGGTGGCGTGGAGTTCCCGCCAAAAACCATTAAAGCTATTAAATCTTCCCAGCAACAGGCACTGCACAGGCGCAGCCCCCATAATGTGTGACTGCACAGATGACCGCTCTAAGAATGACAGTTACAGATAAGCAACCTGCCTATCCTAGGAAAAGCTGAAACATTAGAAGTGTATTTCTTTAGGAATGACTGGAAGGAGCTCATAAACTGCTAATTTTTAAAGCATGAGTAATGATTTCAGCATGTATCTAAGTGCTCCGCTTTTGACTGTCTGCTCCCATAGCCCTTTAAAAAGAAGTGCAACATTATCTCCCTCCCTCAGCACTGCCTGCCATTCAAGTTTTTCTTGACTTCCTCTTCTCAGCATTGAAAGCTATGATGAAATCTCACAATTGTGTGTCTGTTGTATCATCCGGACCCACTTAGGACTTCCTGTGTGGTAGGATTAGTTTCCTTAACCCACAGAAAGAGTTCTAAGGTTTCCATGTTCCACTGTGACTTCTCTGCTTACCCAGACCCAAAATCACAATGTTAGCATTATTGGTATGGAAACACTGTGAAGTCCCCTGGTAAAAGCAGCTTTGCAAGTGGCCATTTCTAGTCTTCAGTTTCTACTGTTTGCAGCTCCCTAACAATAGGAACATCATTGCTCACTTTGAGTCCCACTGAAGAAGTCGTGGCCCTTCGCTCCCAGGCCAAGTTGGCCGGGCATCCTGCTCAGCGGGGCCAAGGCCCCACCCGCGGCAAGAAGCTCTGCCGTCCTCCTGGCAGCCAGGCGGCTTGGAGGTGTGCCGGGGATTCGGGGCACGGAGGCAGAAGGGCCCCTTTCCCGGGGCGGCGGCTCCCCCTGCCTGGAACGTGCCTCGGGAGCCACATGCCACGCGAGGGCAGCACGGCTGCCTGGGTGCTGCAGCCACCCCTGTGCAGCCCTCCCCCCCTCCTGCTCAGGCCCCGCAACCACTGTGTGTGGAGCATGGTGTGGGGGGGGGAGGGACTGTGGGGAGAGTGGAGCGGGTGAGGGGCGGCCCGTGGAGGCCCCCCGGGTGCCTTGCACACGGAGATGCGGGGCCGGGCGGGTGGCCGCAGAAGCAGGAGAAGGCTGGCGCACAGTGGGGAGCGGAAGCCGCACGCCCGCCATGCAGGCAAGCCTTGCGCGTGTGCCAGCGCGTGTTGCACAGTGAGCGCACTGCAGCTCAGAGAGACAGGAGACCTGCAGGCAGAGTAAGCCATAGTGGCAGGGCCAATGCTAAAAAACCTCCTGCGTGTTGTATAAACTCAGCCACTGACATTCTCCAAGGCATTTGTATATTTACCAACGTATTGATATAGAAGTAGGGAAAAGTTACTTCCAATGCTTTCTAGAAATGACACCTTCTGATCAGTTATAATCTGGTTAGACACACCACTGGGTCTGAAGAGCCCTCGTGGTCTGTCTTGCATCATCATCATCATCATCATCATCATCATCATTATTATTATTATAACATTTCTATGCCGCCCCTTGCCGAAACCTCGGGGCGGCTTACAACATGATAAAATACATTGAAATACAATAGTACATAATAAATTACCATTAAATATAAAAATACAAAAAATACATTGATTTACAAATACAAAATTAAAATTATCAGTATAAAATAAAAATATAGGATGAGAAAGAGAAGGAAGAAGAAGTTGCCCAGGCCAGATCATATGTTTTAACAATTGAAATGATTAGACCCCACCAGGCTTCTGCTGGTGGCAGCAGCAGCGGCAGGACCACAAAACAGCCACAGTGGTCTGATCCATACCAAGCAGGAACTGCCATTTAAATCTGCGATTGAGGGAAATAGGATAGTTGGAGTGCCACATTAGGATCGGGCAGCCTTGGGTTCAAACCCTCACTTAGCCACTGAAGCTTATTGGGTGACTTTGGACCAGTCATCATCTCCACAAGAGGAAGAATAGGACAGAATTAGTTAGGGGGGAGAGGGGTGCAATCCCATAATGACGCCAATGTAACATTGTGTTGGGGCCATCATTTTAATTTCCTGCAGTGTGTGGTGTGATAGTATGTTAGGAACTTCACTGATAATCAGAATGGCGGTTCCCAAACCCAGCTTCCTGGTGCTGAAGGGTCAGGGCTGGTGGGCCCTGTCTGGGTGCTAGAGTCCAGCAACTGCTGGGGTTCCCGGTGTGGGTGGTGGAGTGGCAAGAGTCCTGGGTTTGAATATGTGAAAGTTTGGGTTTAAATACTTATTTATTGTGGCCTCTAGCAAGTCACTCTCCCTCAATGACTGACATCTCTAAATATCAGTTAAGGAACTCCTGATTTCGAATTCCCTCTTTTCTCCATGTATCATGCATGTATTGACATGTATGATGTGACATGCATTTGTCCACTCCAGACTGACAGCTGTGGGAGAGAGACCAAGGGACATTTGTGATGCCTGCACACCACATTCCTGATCTTTACAGGGAGAACTTGACATGGCTGTGCATTTTTCAGAGGCAACTTTCAATATCCCTTGTTCCAGCTTGAGGCCCATCTACGTACTGCCTAGAGGGAGGTGCTACTAAAGTTATGTGCCAGGCTTTTGACCAGAAGCACATGATGTGAACATAACAAGTACATTTCATCTGAGCAGAAACTGCCCTGGTGTCTTCGGAAATGACTGTGAGAGGAGCCCAAAAGGAGTGCTCCTGTTCAGGGTGCCAGCCAGTCTGGGACAGGCAGCTTGTAGGAAGTTTGGAGTTCACAGAGGCGGGGGGGGGGGGTCCTCCTTGCTGAAACAGTGAAGCATCCGTAGAATGGGTGCTGCCTAAATGAAGCAAAGGAAAATAGTTTTTTAAGCTATATAAAACAGGAGGAAAGATGGCCATTCATTTTCAAAGACCAGTAGAAATAAGTTTTTGCTCATTCTTGGAGACCTAGCAAGAAGGAAGCTATACAAATGTCTTTTGGTAGAGAATGTCACAGCATTGGGCCAATTCCTTGCAGTCTCTGCATGTATTCCATGAAATGGACTTCAACATAGAACTGGAGTGCTGAAGTTTAAAACTTTATTTATTTATTTATTTATTTATTTATTTATTTATTTATTTATTTAAAGGTTTTATATGCCATCCTCTTGCTACATAGCCTTGGGACGGCTCACAGCAATAAATAAATAATACAATTACAAATTACAAATTACAGTTACAATTACAATTAAAACTTGGAAACACACTGGCTGCACAATTAAAAATTATAAATATTAAAGATTATTAAAATACTGTTTGAATGAAAAGGTCTTGGCCTGGCGCCAAAAAACAAATAACGACGGCGCCAGGCAGACCTCTCTGGGAAGCGCATTCCACAGATGGGGGAGTTGGGGAGTTTTCTAAGTGTGTAGAAACCACTGCCTTGTCTTTTTGGTGATCAGCTTTCATTTCCAAACCAAGAGACATTTAAACATCTCAATACTGTATTAGTATAGGAGGGACAAATGCTATCTGGAAGAAGCCCAGTACAGAGCTGTGTACTTCAACCTAGGTTTAAGCCCTTCTGCTTCTGTGCAGGATTAAGTATCTTCAGTGATCATCTGATGTAGCTGCTCTTCCAAGGGAAAGGTCAAACTGAAAGAACAGTGGTCTCACCTTTTCCATATCCACCCCCCCCCCGCCCACAGGATTCTATTGACATACAGAAGATAGCTGTGATGGGACACTCTTTTGGTGGTGCAACAGTCGTTGAGGCTCTTAGCCGAGATGTGCGATTCAAGTAAGAACATCTTTGAAAACCTGCTGTCATTTTCTCATGATTCCCCACCCCCACCCTCTGTATTTTTAAGGTCAGGGTCTACCGCCAAAAGTGCTTGTACAAGGCTAGGAGGGAGGGACACAACGTACAGTGACAAGGCCACAGGCTGATCACAGTTACGGCATCTAAATCATTGCTCAGGTTTTTACAAATCACTGTACAAATGACTGCACCTGGTAAAATCTGTATAAGAGCCACTAGAAACTTTTAAGAGTTAGTATGTGACTTTTTAAATTTAACACTATTCATGAATTGCTTTCATGAAAAGAAATTTCTAAGTGATGTATCTCCTTCTGGAGATTCCTGTTGGAACATGCTTGCTTTCAGTAGGTGGTATGGATGTATGAAAAGGCCACTTGGGAGTAAAAACTGACTGGACTCTTCTGGTTTACCTCTCTGGATTTCATTCTGTTCCTCCCCACTGGTGTTAATTCAATTTATACAGATTTCAAAGTGAGCAGATTTCCATTTTTTTAAATTGTAGCAATTTGCATACTTGGGTTGTGAGTTGGTTTGGGTCTGGAAATTACTAATGGCATTTTTCTTTTAGTGTTTTGCTCTTGTGCAAGTGCACTCTGGCAATAGAATGGATATGATTTAAATCAAATTGATTTAAATCACTAGTCAGTAAGACATGATTTAAATCCTAGGTTTGCCTGCCTTACTCGTAAGTGGAGGAACTTTGTTAAAATATTTCCAAACTGGGTCTCTTTTATGGCCTGCTGCCATTATAGGCTTTCTACTCCAGGGAAAGAATAATATGAAAAACCTCAGGCCAGACACAAAAACATCCAAAAACTTCTGAAGTATTCTGCTCAAAGGGTTCACCCTCCTCACACTCAACTTCTTGCACAGATCTATTCCACTCCCAACAATCTTTTCCTATTCATATAATTATTTGAAATTGAGCACTTAAGAGGTAAGGGGTTGCTATGATATATAAGGATTCAATTTGTCTCTCCAGGTGCTCTGTGCATCCAAGAACTGGTCTGGAGTGTTTGCACCTTGTGTTGGGGCAGCGAGTCAGATTGAGGATTCTGCTGGTGTACAGCCCACCCTAAAACCCATCAGTAACCCTACCTTTCAGGTGGTTTCAGGTGTGATGTTGGAGTCCCCCAGACTGTTGGTTCTGGGGGATTTCAACATTCACGCTCAGGGCATCCTTTCTGGAGCGGTTCAGGATATCATGGCTGGCATGACAACTGTGGGACTATCCCAACATGTCATTGGTCCAGTGCATGTGCTGGGGTGTACTCTAGACCTGGTCTTCTTGGCCAGATATGAGGATGGTGCCCTGAGTGTGGGGGACTTCAACTAGCCCCCTTTGTCACGGTCAGATCACCACCTGCTGAGATTTAGACTTGATGGCTTTGCCCCCTCCTCGAGGGTAGGGGACCCATTAAGATGGTCCATCCCAGACGCTAATGGATCTGGATGGAGGGGGATTTTTCGTCTGATATGGCTGGTGCTCCTGCCAAAGCCTTGGTCGTGCTGTGGAATACATACATGACCCAGGTGCTTGACATGCTTGCTCTTGAGTGCCTTCTCTGTTGTTGAGCTTGTATTGCTCTGTGGTATACCCCGGAGCTGAGAGCTGCTAAGCAACTTAGGAGACCACTGGAATGCAGACGGAGGAAGACTCCCAGTGAATGTGACAGAAATTGGTATGTCTCTGAAGTCCAATACATTTGAGGCAGTGAGGGCAGCAAGGAAACAATACTTTGCTACCTCTATCCAATCCTCTCTTTGCCTCCCAGTGGAACTTTTCAAGGTTCTCTGCTCTGGCCCCAGGGACACATTGGAACCATCTTTGGCCCATTGTAGCCTACTCACAGAGCACTTCCTGGAAAAAAATGTCTTGCATCCAGTAGGACTTCGACTCCAGAGCCACAGCAGTTGAATCTGTGGAGGTATTCAGAGCACAACCTGATCCAGTTTTATTGGATGAGCTTCAGTTGGCACAGCTCGAGGATGCAGACAAGGTGCTTGGAAGGGTTCATGCAACTGGCTGGGCCAGGGAGATCATCCATGCCTCTTTGAGAGAGGTAGTGGCCCCATGCTGCCTTAAAGTGGTGAGACTGCTTCTGAAGAAACCACAGTCCCTTGGTCCAGAAAATCTGAACAACTTCAGGCTGGTACCAAATATTCCTTTCCTGGACAAGATTCTAGAAAGGGTGGTTGCCAGTCAACTCCAGCCATTCTTGGATGAGACTGATTATCTGGGATTCAGGGGTTCAGTCGGGGTTCAGGTCCCGTTTTGGCAGGGAAACAGCCTTGGTTACTCTGTATGCCAGGAGAGAGAAAGGAGAATGTAACCCTGTTGATACTGCTGAACCTCTCAGCAGTTTTCAGTACCATCAACCATTGTATCCTTCTGGAGCAATTGGCAGAGTTGGGAGTGTGGGGCACTGTGCTGCAGTAGTTCTTCTTCTATGCAGAGGGCCATTTCCAGAAGGTAGTGCTTGAAGAATATTGTTCAGTTCTTGTGGATTCTCCAGCATGGAGATCCTTAGGGGTCTGTTCTGTCCCCCATTCTATTCAATATTTACATGAAACCACTGAGTGGCTTCATCTAGAGTTTGGGAGTGTGTTGCCATCAGTAAGCTGATGACACGCAGCTCTCTTTCTCCTTTTCATCTCCAGCAGGTGAAGGTGTGGACGTGCTAAACCAGTGTTTGGCTGTGACAGTGGACTGAATGAAGGCTGAAAAACTGATATTCAGTCCAGACACAATTGAGATGCTGTTGGTGGGTGGTTCCTTTGATTAGATGTTCAACTTGTTCTAGACAGGGTTGCACTCCCCCTGAAGGAGCAGGTTTGTAGGTTGGGGTTCTTTGTCACTTAGTGCTCAGGTGGCCTTGGTGGCCTAGAGTACCAGCTGCACCTGGTGGCTCAGATGCACCCCTATCTGGACAGGAATAGCCTAGCTTTGGTAATCTACGAGTATGTTCTGGTAATCTTTAATCAGATTACTGCAAAGCACTGTTTCTGGGGCTGCCCTTGAAGATGATTCAGAAGCTACAGCTGGTTCTGAATGTGGCAGTCAGATGAATAACTGCGACCTGTCGGTCCAAACATGCATTGATTGTGTCCATGCTTCCAGCCCCAGTTCAAGGTGCAGAGTTTAACCTATAAAGCCCTACATCCCTTAGGACCACAAAACCTGTAAGAGCACCTCTCCCAGCCCCCATCTACCTGGATACTACAGTCAACCTCTCAGCCTTCCTCCGAGTGCCAACTCCAAGGGACCTGCAGGGGATGTCCACTAGGGGGAGGGTTTCTTGGTGATAGCCCCCCACCTGTGGAATAACCTCCCCACTGCAGTGTGGCTGGCACCAAATCTGTCATCTTTTGGGCACCAGATTAAGGTGGCCTTTTTTTCGGAGGCTTTTAAGGACTTACTCAGCCACCCAGAGGCTTAAGGGGGACCACCAGGTTTGCAGAGTCACCCTTCTTTATTATTCTTTGTATTGCTTGTTTTTACAGTTTGCTTTTAGCTGTTGTAAACTTTTAAATGTTTGTTCTGATTTTTCTGACATTTTAATCATTTGTTTTTATAGATTGTGTAAACTGCCCAGAGAGCTTTGGCTGTGGGGCAGTATAGAAATAAAACAACAACCATGATACAGACTCTCTTGGTCATTGTCCATGGATGCTGCCTAATGCACTTTGACAGCAGATATTTCCCAGGACATTGACCAGGCAAGACCTTTCGCTTTGGATCCTGTAAATGCTCAGGTGTACACTTACGAAAAGCCAAAAATAAACCACACACACAGTATTCCTAGAGTCTGAGGAAATAAGCCCCTGGTACAGTCCACTGGAGAAGGAAAGGGCAACCCACTCCAGTATCTTTGCCAGGAAAACCCCATGGACAGTACCAAAAGGAAAAAGATATGACGCCAGAAGATGAGCCCCTCAGGTTGGAAGGTGTCCAATATGCTACTGGAGAAGAGCAGAGGGCTAGTACTAGTAGCGCCAGAAAGAATGAAGCAACAGGGTCAAAGCCGAAAGGACACTCAGTTGCAGATGTATCTGGTGGTGAAAGGAGAGTCCGATGCTGCAAAGATCTATACTCCATAGGGACCTGGAATGTAAGATCCATGAATCAAGGCAAGCTGGATGTGGTCAAACAAGAGATGACAAGACTGAACATCATAGGAATCAATGAATAAAATGGACAGGAATGGGTGAATTTAATTCAGATGACCATCAGGTATACTACTGTGGGCAAGAATCCCTCAGAAGAAATGGAGTAGCCTTCATAGTCAATAAAAGAGTAGGAAAAGCAGTACTGGGATACAATCTCCAAAATGACAGAATGATCTCAGTTCGAATCCAAGGCAAACCATTCAACATCACAGTAGTCCAAGTCTATGCCCCAACCACTGGGGCTGAAGAGGCTGAAGTTGACCGGTTCTATGAAGGCCTACAACACCTTTTAGAATTAACTCCAAAAAATGATGTCCTTATCATCATGGGGGATTGGAATGCTAAAGTAGGAAGCCAAAAGATAACCGGAATAACAGGCAAGATTGGCCTTGGAGTACAAAATGAAGCAGGGCACAGGCTGGTAGAATTTTGTCAAGAGAATACGATGGTCATAGCAAACACTCTTTTCCAACATCCCAAGAGACGACTCTACACATGGACATCACCAGACAGTCAACACAGAAATCAGATTGACTATGTGCTCTGCAGCCAAAGATGGAGAAGCTCTATACAGTCAGTAAAAACTAGACCAGGAGCTGACTGTGGCTGAGATCATGAGCTTCTCGTTGCAAAATTTAGACTTAAGTTGAAGAAAGTAGGGAAAAGCACTAGGCCACTCAGGTATGACCTAAATCATATCCCTGCGGAATATACAGTAGAGGTGACAAATAGATTTAAGGAATTAGATCTGATAGACAGAGTGCCTGAAGAACTATGGACAGAGGTTTGCAACATTGTACAAGAGGCAGCAACTAAAACCATCCCAAAGAAAAAGAAATGCAAGAAAGCAAAATGGCTGTCTGAGGAAGCTTTACATATAGCTGAGGAAAGAAGGGAAGCAAAAGGTAAGGGAGAAAGATATAAACAATTGAATGCAGAATTCCAGAGAATAGCTAGAAGAGATAAGAATGCCTTCTTAAATGAACAGTGCAAAGAAATAGAAGAAAGCAATAGAATAGGGAGGCCCAGGCATCTCTTCAAGAAAATTGGAGATATGAAGGGAATGTTTCATGCAAAGATGGGCATGATAAAGGACCAAAATGGCAGGGACCTAACAGAGGCAGAAATGATTAAGAAGAGGTAGCAAGATTACACAGAAGAACTATACAAGAAAGAGCTTAATGTCCCTGATAACCACAATGGGGTGGTCACTGACCTCAAACCAGACATCCTGGAATGTGAAATCAAATGGGCTTTAGGAAGTCTGAGCAACAACAAAGCTAGTGGAGGCGACAGTATTCCAGCTGAGCTACTCAAAATCCTAAAAGACGACGCAGTAAAAGTGCTACACTCAATATGCCAGCAAATTTGGAAAACTCAACAGTGGCCACAGGATTGGAAAAGGGCAGTTTACATTCCAATCCCAAAGAAGGGCAATGCCAAAGAATGTTCAAACTACCGCACCATTGCACTCATTTCACATGCTAGCAAAGTGATGCTCAAAATCCTACAAGCTAGGCTCCAGCAGTCTGTGGACCGAGAGCTACCAGAAGTACAGGCAAGATTTCGAAGAGGGAGAGGAACTAGAGACCAAATTGCCAACATATGCTAGATTATGGAGAAATCTAGGGAGTTCCAGAAAAACAACTACTTCTGCTTCATTGACTATGCTAAAGCCTTTGATTGTGTGGATCACAACAAATTGTGGCAAGTTCTTAAAGAGATGGGAGTACCAGACCATCTTATTTGTCTCTTGAGAAACCTATATGCGGGTCAAGAAGCAACAGTGAGAACTGGACACGGAACTACTGATTGGTTCAAAATTGAGAAAGGAGTTCGGCAAGACTGTATATTGTCGCCCTGCCTATTTAACTTATATGCAGAGCACATCATGAGAAAGGCGGAGCTAGATGAATCTCCAGTTGGAATTAAGATTGCTGGGAGAAATATCAACAACCTCAGATATGCAGATGATACCACTCTAATGGCAGAAGGTGAAGAGGAACTAAAGAGCCTCTTGATGCGGGTGAAGGAGGAGAGCACAAAAGTTGGCTTGAAACTCAACATTAAGAAAACTAAGATCATGTCATCCGGTTCTCTCACTTCCTGGCAAATAGATGGGGAAGAAATGGAGGTAGTGACAGGTTTTATTTTCCTGGGCTCCAAGATCACCACAGACGGGGACTGCAGCCAAGAAATTAAAAGACGCTTGCTCCTGGGGAGGAAAGCTATGGCAAATCTAGACAGCATACTAAAAAGCAGAGCCATCACCCTGTCAACAAAAGTGCGTATAGTCAAGGCTATGGTTTTCCCAGTTGCAATGTATGGCTGTGAAAGCTGGACCATAAGGAAGGCTGAGCACAAAAGGATTGAGGCCTTTGAATTGTGGCACTAGAGGAGACTTCTACGAGTCCCTTGGACTGCAAGGCGATCAAACTGGTCAGTCCTAGAGGAGATCAACCTTGACTGCTCTTTAGAAGGCCAGATACTGAAGATGAAGCTCAAATACTTTGGCCACCTAATGAGAAGGAAGGACTCCCTGGAGAAGAGTCTAATGCTGGGAACAATAGATGGCAAAAGAAGGAGGGGACAGCAGAGGATGAGGTGGCTAGATGGGGTCACTCAGGCGGTTGGTGTGAGCTTAGGTGGACTCCGGGAGATGGTGGAGGACAGGAAGGCCTGGAGGAGTGTTGTCCATGGGTTGCAATGGGTTGGACACAACTTCGCGACTAACAACAACAGTCCACTGCTGCTTGCTGGAATGGAAATGCTGTGGAATTCCATCAGATTTAAAGAAAATGGAATTCCTAGCATTGTACAACCCTAGTAGAGACTGTATTTCAAGCTACCATGGACCAAATCTGGGATATCTTAGGCATTACCAGGAGAATCACTCCTGATGAGAGCAGCAACCAAACAGGCAGGTGTGTATGTAGTGGGGGGTAATCAGGCAATCTCTTAAGTATCCTGGTCCTGAGTTGTTTAGGTCTTAGTAATGTTTAAAGAATTTTCTTGCCTTCCTTTCCCCTCTGTTTCTTTTATATTAGAGTATAAGCCTCTGGACAAGACCTATTCAGTTTCTAAGCTCTGTGTCATGTGTAGTTAGATATATAATATTTGAATTACCAGGACTGAAATTGACTATGTACTCAAATAAATCTGAGTCTTGCATAGCCTTCCCCTTTAATAGAACCTTAGTCAAATTGAGGCTTGCACTTCACCTTTGTAACTCCCTACCAGCCCCACAGCCCTTGAGTAAGTCAAAAAGTCTAATGTCAGGGCCTGTAAATGTGTGTTTTCCCACTGGAAACAGTGGGATTTGACTCTAAGGCACATGGCCCCAGATGGAAAATAATCCCAGATGGAAAGTGACATTCTGCACATGATTTGTGGCCCATGAGAAGCTTGGTGGAATATGGGGCTTGGCGCAAAAACACTTGATATTCCCTGTATCATTTGCTGCCAAAGAGGCATCCCATGAGTCCTCTACTATCTGTTACACCTTCCCCTTAATCTGCAAGATAAGAGACAATGGGGGGCAGTAGAGAAACCGGGACAGGAGAGGAATTTTAAGAGTTAATATCAAACCATTGGAGAAGTGCTTGCGGCCTTTGTGGTGATCCATATGGGCTCTAAAGCATCCATGACTGTTGGCAAGAGCTAATGCTACTACTGTTAGGGCATGTACACTAGTAGGCAGAGACCTGCAAAGTTGGAAAGAAGGTTGAGGTTCAGCAGGGGATTAGCCATCTAGTCCAGCCCCTGCTCCATGTAGGATCTGCAGTGCCCACCCTGCCTCCAGTGCCAGAGAACCCGCTGCTTCCTGAAGCAGCCTTTACCACTGGGAAGTGTTGCCTCACACATTACATATGCATACAGATGTGAAATGTCTTTGTGAATACAAGTTAAGATGTTTGACTTCCACAACTACTAAGACAAATGTAACCACAGATAGGCAGATCGGGACACACGCTATGCTTTCTTCTGCACAGGTGTGGCATTGCTCTTGATGCATGGATGCTACCGCTGTGCGATGAGGTCTACCCCAGGGTTCACCAGCCATTGCTGTTTATTAATTCAGAAAAATTCCAGTGGGCTTCAAATGTCCTAGAAATGAAGAAACTCAATTGCAAAGATAGAGAAAGAAAGATGATCACTATCAAGTAAGTGCTTCAATATGATGTTTGCTTCTTTTCAAGTGAAGGGAACTATAGAATCATGAACTCAAGTTAGAGATTCTAATCCATATAGAGTTCACAGTGAAGGATACCCTAAAAAGCGAAGAACTATTCCAGGTTTTAGTATTTTGCCAAAAAACACAGATGTTTCATTTTCATATTACGGAATTGATGGGAAAGCATGAAGTTGATCTGCTTCAGTCTGTATCTGTCGTATAACAAAATTGTCATATGAGATCAGCCCAATGATCTTTGATAACTAGCTGTAAAATTCCGCCCAAATGAGCAAGCAAAGAGCCTTCTCTTGAGGCTAATCTTAAGGTGTTATTAAGGGTACAATCCAATCGGAATGCCTGTAATCCTCAAAATCAGAGGATTACAGGCATCCTGTGCAGGGCAGGAGGTTCATGGGGGCACTTCTTCCATCCCACAAAATGAGCAGGCAGCCAATTTTGGTTGTCTTAACTGTGGCGCTGAGGAGAGGAAAGGAGGCTGAGCAGATGACAGGGCATCCCATATGTGGGTAGCACTAGTCTTCTCTCCCCACCCATCGAGATGCCCACTAAACTCCTTCTCTAAGGTCACTTTTGTTGTCCAGAGGCCACAGGATTACATTGTAAATGTCTTTGTTTCATTATGTTGACTTTTGGGTGGTATGAATACATATACAAATATACATATACAAATATACATATACAAATAATGCAAATAGCATCAGCTACATTTTAATTTACTTATTATTTATTGGGTTTGTAGAGGGAGGATTTAGCCTTTTCCTCCCTTGTTATGCATCTTAGGAGAATCATTCCTCTGAAACTGGCATTTGCATTGGGAGAAATTTCCACATTTGATTTTCTCTCAATCCATTTTGCTAAGCACGATAGCAAAGGAAGAAAGCTTTACATGACCATTATTTGCAGCAGTCCCAACAGATGCTGTTTGCATTTTAAAAAACCTCAACATGAACTGAAAAGATGCATTTAACATCACATCTGTTTGGCTCCCAATGTATTTGGCTGTAAGGGCAAGATAAGTAATCAGACTGAAATGTCTGAGGAAGCAAATTGCCATTCAGGAAGAATTTTTCTTCTGTCCAATGGAAAATATGGTAGCCAGTTGAAATCATTCAGCATAGAAACAATATTATAATATTGACTTCACATCGTTGTGCTTTCCTCAAAGAAAGTGATGAACACATCAACTAACCATGTGAATAAAATATTTTTTAAATTGTGTAAGATTTGTCACTGAGAAAGCAATCAAGGCATTTTGAATTTTAATTATGTAACTTGAACTGTAATTTCCCTGCAGTCCATTAGTTTATTCTGGCTATTTTAGATTATTCCAGTAAGATAGGCAGGGTTTATACCTACCAGTCAAGTGCAGTGGGTCAGGGTACCTTCATGTTCATCACAGCTGGAAATCAAACAAAGGAAAAAGTAAAGGACAGTGAAAAGGGCAGGGGTGGGGAGGATGGGGAAAGACAGTAAGAGAGAGAAAGGGGTTAAGGTGAAGTATGCAGCTTCCTCTCCCCCTAAAAGTGACCTTAGAGTCAATGGTACCTTGGCTCACGAACTTAATCCGTTTCCGGACTCTGGTTGTGACCCAAATTGGTCGTGAGCCAAGTCAAATTTCCTCATAAGGGTCAATATAAATAAGGTTAATCCGTTCTGTAACTATATTTTTTTTAATCAGAAAAATTTGAAGCAAAGTGACAAAGAACAACAAAGATCGCAGCCATCTCTCCCCCGCCCCCCGCAGCATGAGCGCGATCGCAGCCATAGATGGGGGGGAGATGGGCACGACCGCAGGCGTGCTCGGGGTGGGGGAGACGGGCGTACTTATGGGTGCACTTGGGGGAGACGGGCGTGATTGTGCTGGGGTTGGGGAGATGGTTGAGATCGTGATTGCGCTTGTGTAGGAAAGACAGGCTCAGTCACGGCCATCTCTCCCCCCCCCCCCCCCCCCCCCCGAGCACAACCATGATCATGCCTGTCTTCCCTGCACGAGCACAACCGCAATCGTGGCCATTTCTCCACTCGGAGGGGGTGGGGAGACTGCCGTGATTGCGGTCACCACCCAATGCGGAGTTCACAACCTGAGTCAAAATTTTTATGAAATTTTTGTTCGTAACCATGAACTGAGCCGAAGTACCTCTGTATATTGATAACAGATAAGGATAGTTCAAAACTGACAATTTGATAAGGAAGCATATGGGCAGATATGTAGATTACTGCAGCTCACCCAAGTCCTAATCTTTGAAGGGCAAAAATCACCAATATTTCTTTTCATTGTTTTTCCTTTGCTTTGAAACCATATTCCACATCAGCATCCTTTTCCAAAGCAGCCCTATTATTTAAATCAACCTGTTGGCCTGCTGATTATTTAAATGATGCCTGTTGCTATCTTAGCAAGCACAAATTTTCTTCTTTGTGGTCTCTGAACATCACACATACGGGCTCTGTGCCTGGGTGCAGCAAGAGCATCAATAGATCTATGATTATTTTTTTTATTTTTTATTTTATTAAAACATTTTTATGCCGCCCCATTCGCCGAAGCCTCGGGGCAGCTTACAACAAAAAATTTAAAATAACATTTTAAAATATATACAATAAAATACAAATATACACTATAAAACAAGCCGCCCTGGCCAAATAAAATTCAATAATATTAACATTTAAAATACTGCTTAAATAAAAAGGTCTTCGCCTGGCGCCGAAAAACAAATAACGACGGCGCCAGGCGGACCTCTCTGGGGAGCGCATTCCATAACTTAGGCGCCACCGCTGAGAAAGCCCTCCTCCGAGTAACCACCCTCCTAACTTCTTCCATGGAGGGCTCCCATGCAAGGTCTCCTTCCTTGTGGCAATTACCTCTGCTGGAAAAGCTAGTGCCCTTTGTGCCCTCTGGACAGATCCACCACAGGGACAGGGCAGTCTTCCGTCCCAACCAAATTTCCTACCAAAAATCACATCACTGTTTCACATCAGCCAAGATACTATCTTACCAGCCTTCTTCCAATCACCATCCAACCTGATAGAAACACTACATATACTAGACATACAAAGAGCCTTAGCATTCTATGAATACTTTCGTCGATCCCAAAGACCAAGGAATCAAAAGGTAAACCCATCACAACCCAACAACTTGCGCACTGTGTTGTTGAGACCATTAAATTAGCCTACCAAGTAGCTGGATTACAACTACCAAATGAGCCAACAGCACACTCTACCTGGGCAATTGGGACATCTATGGCACTACATGCTGGAATACCAACACAACTCTGCAGAGTGGCTGCATGGACCACTCCATCAACCTTCGTCTGTCACTACCTGCTCGATGTACGTGCCAGACAAGTCTGTGCCTTTGCCTGGGCTGTCCTCTTGGCAGTCCTCTGCTGACAACACCTACCCCACCTCCATTCTTTAGGTAAGCTTGCTAGTCACCCGTATGTGTGATGCACAGAGACCACAAGGCAAAACGGAAGGTTGTTTACCTGTACCTAACGTTTTTCAAGTGGTCATCTGTGCATTCACACAAACCACCCACTGGCCCCTCAGGGGTCAACCATCATACCTGATCCTTTAAACATTGTTCCATTGGACAGAGAGATCATGGGTGGGGTTGCAACTGGCCCTCCTTCTACTCAGTTCTGAGGCCCTAACATCAGTCTACCTGCACTGAGAAAATGCTGGGAGCCCCTCCCTTCTATACTAGGGGAGGGACATGGCTCCTCCCAAAATGAGCTTTGCTAGGAAAATCTTCCTGACAACAGGCCCCATGCAGGTGCAGAGCCTTTATGTGTAAATGCACAGATGACCCCTTGAAGTACAAGTAAACAACCTTACTTTCCTCTTCTATAAAGATTCAGCAAAATTTGTAACTTTGAAAGAACTTTGAAAGTGCTCATTTATCATGGCTACTCCAGAGCTTGCAGAATCCAGTGGTTTCTTGGGTGCAGCAGAATCAGACTTTTCCTCACTTAAACTTTTCTGACTATATCTTTCTTGTTTTCAGAGGATCAGTGCATCAGAGTTTTCCAGACTTTACATTCCTGGCTGGCAACATTGTTGGAAAGATTTTTAAACTGAAGGGAGATACAGACTCAACTATAGTTATTGATATTAGCAACAAAGCTTCATTAGCTTTCTTACAGAAACATTTAGGTAAGTTACCACAGTTTTTTTTTAATTGGTCAGTAGCCCAGCCCATCCTTGTACTCTGAACATATTATGTTTGTGGGGTGCTGTTAAAACTCAATGACAAGTGATTCCCCACCTTAGCCAGATGTATCTTAGCACTGCTCGCTGCACAAATTATGACTATCACATTTAGAGACTTCTCCCCTCTGAGGGTTCCTGATATCCACTGACAGTAATAGACTTCATAAGTTGTTCTAAATGTTAAGACTGACGTCTTTCAGCACAAGGAGGTTAAGTTTATTTTTTAAAAAATAGCATCCCAATGGTATGTGCAATATATGCATCAGCCCTTACACTTCTGACATGGAGCAGAACAAAACATGCATAGAAGTTATGCTCTGCAAAAGAAACCCATCCCATAGCAAACTTTTCCACAGTGGGCATCCTTAATATGTAAACAGGCTTTGGATGCAGTCATGTGCACACTTACCTGACCCCAGTGAACACCCAACTAGTCTACGCTAACTTCTGAGTAGACATGCGTTGGCTAGTGCTGCTCAGCAGCTTAACACCCAGAACTCCTGCTCTCCCATCAACCTGCCTGTTGGTGTACTGAGGTCCTCTTCAGAGAATCCCTTCCAGATCCCCTAGCCATCTGAGGTCAGGTGACAGCCAAAGTATAAGCATCTTCTTAGTGGAGGCACTCTTCTTCAAGGAGGCTTGATTGGCAACAAACAGCACTTCAGGGAAAAAAGTCTGCTTTATAATGTATTCTAAGCATGCTGTTGTATGTTATTGGTGCTCTTTCTCTTAGTTTTTGTAAGCTACTCTAGCATTTTGAACAGTGGTATGTAAATTTTCAAGTAGAAAGTCCCCATTTAGGACATTATCCTATAACTGGTAGATGCTGTCTGGCTGGGCATAGGAAAAAGAGGGGTTTCATCTCTGCCCATGATAATTGATTGGAAGTATCCTTCCACTGCCCTTGTCACAAGACAAACCATGGACCAGCACTGTGGGGAGCGGAGAGAGGGGTAGTGAGAATCTGCCAGGATGAGATGTATCTCAGCACTTCCCCAGCTCATCCTCATGAGGCTGCTGAAATCAGCCACCTAAATTCTTTGCAGGGCCTGAGAAGTACAGAGATGCCCTTCACCTCCACATTCCTGTCCTCAGTAGGATGCCTGTAATCCTCTGAGTTCTGATGGTCATGGGCACCCCTACTAGACTGTGCCTTGCATAGTTATTTGCAGCTTTGTTTTAAAGAAAGAATTTAGTTTTCTATGCATGGCAGTCCTGTTAGAACAGATAGGCACAGGATAAAACAATGTGAAATGTTACCCGCCTTCAACAACAGCAAACCAAAAATTTTACAAACCCTATAGAAATGGATAGCAGGGGTCAGGAACCATGGCATATCCTACAGAAATTTGCTCAGCCAGCTCCTACTGTAGCACACAGCCATCTCTATCCATTCATGCAGACTGAATATTTGAAATACATTTTTATGCTCGGCTTAACTTTTACACAAGTATTACAATAACTGATAAAAGCAAGTTATCAGTTCTAGATTTTCTAAAGACTCAGTTTATTGCAAGTCTTACAGGTCACAAAAACCTGCTATTCTTTATATGACTTTAAATCTAGCTTTTGCTTTCGAAGATTCATGTTTTCTTATGTTGCATTTGTGTTCTGTAGGTCTCAACAAAGATTTTAACCAGTGGGACATGCTCTTAGATGGCAAAGGATTTAATGTTGTTCCAGGCACCAACATTGATCTAGCCCCAGTGGCACCTCAGGTGAAACAATAAAGACACAATGAACATGCTGTGCCTGTAAAGCGTTTGCATGCTTCTGCTTTCCTGTAGAAAGTTTTTAGGAATACTATTTTGTAACATAAAGTGATAGTTCCATAGCAAGTCAGAATGTTTATATAAAGTGGAATTTGGCACCAGCTCAAAAACTCGCTAAAGAGCCAAGAAAGATACTGAGTAAAAATCAGTTATTAAGGGTACAATACTTAGTCATGCTTTCCAGGGAATTGTTTGGTATTGCAGCTTCAAAACTTTGTGACCTTGGAGCTAGGACTCCAAAGGCCAAGCTCCCTCTCTTCCCTCCTCACAGCTGACCTCAAAAAAATCATGCTGGCTGCCTTTCCCAAGGTTGCAGATGCAGCTCAAACAGAAGAGAACAGAGCGTGTTTGTGGGGGGATGGGGTAGCAGGCTGAGTTCTGCTGATTTCTGTTGGTGCCCTGGCCTCCTTTCCTACCTCTTTATCACAGCAATTATAACAGCCACCTAGATAAAACCAGTGTGAGAGATGCAAATGCAGCAGCGCCTCATTCAGGGCATAGCAGGCCTAGAGACATTGAAGACGGAGGTGATGTGACCGCACTCTGCTTCTGTTGAGATTTTATGTAGATCAGAATTGCGCTTGAATTAGAAATGTTTCCATTATCCCTGTAAATGATAACTGCATGCTTGAGCTATCAATAATCTAAAAATCCCACTTTTAGCTTTTTTCCTTTAGTCAAATTTTAGAAGCAAATTTTATATTTTTAGGAAAATATAATTATTAAGAATAAAAGCCAACATTTGACACAGGCAGGAAGTACAACTGTGGCAAATTTTATTAGTCAAGATTTTGGTGTTCACATAATTGATACTGTACTCTGTGTAAGTAATTTAGGTAACACTGAGCAATTAAAAAATAAAATCTATTACATCTGTAACAATCTTTTGTTTTTAAGAGGTATTCTTAGAAAGAGTTTGTTTTTAACACTTTCTTGAAAAGAACTCTACATCTATGAACATGTTTGTTAAACAGAGAGACATCCATTACAACACTTAGACTGGGGTTTGGAGAAGCACCTAGACTGATGGCAGAGCCATTCCAGAGCACCTATGCCATATGCCATAAAATGGCCTCAGGCCTCATGACTTTCAGTGGATTTTCTGGTAGCATGGCACAGAATGTCTGTTACACAGCAGCACACAGCTTCTATCCTCTGTGTGAAGTGGGATCTCATTAATAGCCTGGGTGTTTTATGTGAACCAGGTCTAGCAAAAGAAATTCAGAAACCTTTAATTTAGCAATCATACATTCTGGTGCACGAAAAACACTCTCAACAGCAGGAATATTGGTGGGCACCAAGCCACACCTCTTGTGTAGCACAGCGTTGAAGATGGTAAGCACACTTTTCTTGCTAGACTTAAGTGGCAAGTTGAGATGCTAGTTATCCCAGTGGAAAAAACAGAGTGAGGCTAGATGTTAATTTCTTCAGCCCAAATCATAGCTCAGTATAGGTCCTTGTTCCCACTTTCCATGCACACAAGGCAGAAAAAGCAGTCTAGTGCATGCCTTCTCTTTACATCTACTTTCTTATCTTTAAGGATGCAGCTTGCTGCCACAAGTTCACTAGTACCTGCACCATACCAGTGAGCTCTTTTCCACAAAACCATCGTCTGGGACACCTGATTATGGTTTCCCTGGCACCATCCTTGTTGGGCAATCAGTATTTCTGGGTTCAGATCTAGTACCAGTAAAAATGTCATATGCTGGATCATCCAGAATCCTAGAAAACTGTTGCTGACATTTAAACATTTGAACTATATTCTGTTGTTTATGCTAGACTGATCCCAAGAAACTGAAAATATTTGTATTATTGATGTCCACCTTCCACTGTAGCAAAACCTTCATATTGTTTGAAGAATTTAACCTTTTTTAATAAAGCTACTTCTCCTGAAATAAATTCTTCTTCTTAACAATCTGTGGTGGCAAAAGACTGAACTAATTATACAATCAACATGAAAAGTCTCCTGCATTACTGAATGAAATTGAGAAAATGATTGCATTTTTATAAAATATATGTATTATATTGAGAGTACTAGTGAAGGTTTTAGCATAGTTTCATAATTCTGTTATGATCAATCATGCACCCAGCTTATCATTAAAGACATCACAAGCTTTCAATGAAGCAGGGAAAAAGAACAGTAAGACCTCATATTATGCACAATTTAAGCTTTATTTTTTCCTTAAAGTAAGGAAATACAAGGACTTCCAAACAGCTATAGCAATTTTTTTAAAGCTATTTATGGAAGTGTACTCAAAATATGCAACAAAGCATGTTTCCGTCACAAAAATACTCCAAAGTTTAGACAACAAACACCCATGCAACTTCGTAACACAGAGAAGGAAGCCCTTTACAAGCAAGGGCAAAAGTACAGAACTTGCTTAATAGACTAGTAAGTGGAGAACTGTTCCTGATTTGGATAGGCTAACTCAGAGCAATCCAAGAAATTTGTGGAAGATGGTCCCATCACTCAGGTACTCTTTCAGCACAAGGGCCAGTACTATCATCCAAGCCAGCAGTCGCTTCTTCCACTGCCAAAGATACAAGGGAGTTAGTAGGCTATATTTAGGTTAGATTAGTAGGTTAGGAAGGCCTCAGCAATTATAGGCAGCCTATAGATATATGTAAATAAATAAGCAGTGTACATGCACATTATGCTAAAATATTAGCTATTAAAACATACGTATTCTACATACATATTCATTTCTACACTCTTAAGTTTAATGACCTTGTCCCAGTAGCAAGAGCTGCAATGGTAAGGATCTCTTCAATAAACTTTTCTCCTTTCTGAAGGTTCAACTCTCAGCATGCCAAGAAGCTATGGCTGGAAAAATTCGTAAAACCCTGGGGTTCTGTTGCCAGCCAATGCCAAGAGTACAGGGCTATATATATCTTCACATATATTCCACTCTCAAATTAGAAAATGGACGCTTTCCTGAAAATAGATGAACAGTGAAGGCTTGCATGACAGTAATTATATTCTTATTAGAAGAAAATTGTTTAAAGTGGCAAAATACTACTAAATGGTTTGGGTACTTCAGTCCCAAAGAAGTGATTATAATAATAATTTATAGACTATGCACATGCTTTACCTGCCATTGAGAAACCCCAGCAAGTTTTCAAGGAGCCATGATTTAAAAGATATTCTAGTAATCTTACTAGACATTGCTGGGGAGTCAGCAGCCCTGCCCCAAGCCTAATTTAAGCTGCCAGTGAATAAACCCACTGTCTTTTTCATATATTATTGTGCTGCAAACTGAAAAAGGAAAACTTCCTTTGCACTTAAGACAGAAGCTGCCAGCAGAGATAATGCTTTGTTCTGCACTGGCATTTCCACTGCTGATCTCAGTAAAAATTTGTCTTCTTCCATCCAGCACAGAAGCTGCCAAGAAACAGATCAAATTCTTCTTGCCCTAGCAACCTGTGTGAATGTGTGTGAAAGATAAAAATTGTAGCTGAAAGAAAAGGGATGAATGGGTATAAAAGAGAGAAAAAGGTGCCCCATCTATTTTCAGCTCTGGTCCCAACCACCACTAGTACATGCTCCCTAATTACCTTCTATTGAGAAAACATTTCCCTTCACTCATTACAGATAAGAAAAAATACAGGAACAAACCCAAGGTCCATGCAATCTAACCTACTGCTTCCCATAGGACTTGAAACTTCAAGTAAATCTTGAAGGCATCCACCGTGCCACCACTGCTGCTCTGTCGCAACATAGAATCAGATTCATACAGGTAGTCAGTCCGTGGGTTACGAACATCTGAGTTACAAACCACCTGTACTTAAAAATACGTGGACTGCCATAAACCCTACATCAGGGGTCTCAAACTCGCGGCCCACGGGCCCATTGCTGGGACGGGCGGGGCACGGGGGAGGGGCCCTGCGGCCTTCAAAGTGCCACTGGCCTCCGGGAGCCACGCGGGATGAGCGGCCCACTCCCACCGCGGGGGTGGGATACGTGATGCGGCCCAGCCTCACCCAGACTCTACTTCCAGCGGCCCCCAGGGAAGCTGAGTTTGACACCCCTGCCCTACACGAATATCTCTTATGAAAAGCCAGTGAGGGGGTTAGGCCCCCCCTCCCATTCCGTTCACTGTGAAACGACGGTTTTCCCTGGCGGGTGAGGGGGCTGCCGCCCACAAAAACACCAGAGGCAATCCGTACTCTCTCACCGCCTCTCCAGGGCAGTGAACTGGGCTTCTCCAAGCCCCCTGGTGAACGGATTTCGGCATGAAATACAGAGCTCCTGTTTTCGCTGCTGATCTTGCTGTGACGTAATCCGGAAGTTCCCTACAGAATCAGTATTCACAACTTTTCATTCTGGGCATTGGCTTGCGTGTATCCAAGTCAGTGTGCTCTGAGACGTGTGGAACGCATTGCCCCCTTTGGCTTTTCCTGTAGCTTCTGTCCTTGTAACCAGGCCCTCAGCTGTACAAGGCCATTTATGATGAGAAAAGAAAATGGCTGTACAAGCAACCCTTGAGGCCTACTTCAAGAAAGCAAATCCAGTGGTAACTCCACCCCCAATCTTGAGCAGCACAATCATATCCCCACTCTCCAGCACCAGGTCCATTTCTGCCATCATCAGTTAATATTGAGGTACGGGGGTGGATTCAGAAGGTGGCCAGGTCACTTGCCCAGCAAGCTGAGATGACAGATACCAGAAAAGCAGTCTTTCATGGCAGGAGGTGGTGATCTGTAGTGGCTAGAAGCTCAAATGGCTTCTTTGTAAGGGCATGAAGAACCACAGGAAGGCTCCAGACTGGTATAGGCAATTGGGTTGGTGGGGTCAGGTAATTGAGGCCTTTCATGAACCAGCAAACAAAGGGGTGGGAGAAGACAGAGTGGCCCTGAATTGAGGAATGGAAGGTGGAAATGGCTACTGCATACATGCAGATCAATGCCGTCTTAGTCCCCTTTGGAAGAGAGCATTCAGAAACAGTAGTAGCTGTTGCGCCAAGGAACTGTCAGGCTTAAAGTTGTGCTCTGAGGCAAAGCAAGAGAAAGTTTCCCACTTTGTGTGGTATCAGCATCTGGTGGTAGGTTTCAGAACAGCCTCAACCATAAGGTGGAAGTCTGCAAGTTTATCAGTTAGGCTATCAGTGTTGACCAGATCCTACAGGTGGTGAGGCAGAGCATGTGCACCTCTGGGTGGAGAAATGTGCCTTGATCCCAGGAAATGACATTGGATACTAGAAGTAGGTGCATGGAGGTCTTTTAATACTTTGGAGTACTGATCCAGGGATGCAGGTTCTGAGCTGGAGGCATCGGATTTGGAATCTAATTCCCTAGCCTGTGTGAACATTGCCTGGTTAGCTTCAAGTGACTTCACATGACCAATCAGGCTCAAGAAACATTGTGCTCCAGTTTTCTTTGCAGCTTTGGAAACTTTCAATCTTGGCTCAGGCAAAGGCATCTCAGTGTGGATGGACAACCTCTTGGAATAGGCAGGGCTCCACTGTGCCCATTCCTGGCATCCAAAGTCAAAGGATGCCCAGAGCTCCCTGTAAAGATCCATTTCATACTCCTACCTATACATTGGTGTGGTCCACTGAAAATTATGATGCCGATTGGTCATAGGAAAGTGGGATCAATTGTGGTGTCTGTCGCACTTCATGGGGTGCAGCAGTGGATTGTAGGGGGTGATGATGGGTTTCACAGTCCCTCAGCAATTAGCACAGCCTGCTCAGGTGGTAACAGTTCCCATATTTTGCCCTCTGAGAATGAAGCACTCAGGGCTGTGGGGTGCGGTGGAATTGGAGGTCACTGCATTGGTCTTGGAACCAAGCAGGAATACCAGAGAGGCTTGGGCTCTGGCACTGTGTCTTTATCATGTAGGAGGCAACTAGAAGGCTGCTTATCGCAAGGCTTTTTAGCACACTTGATGCCATTTTCTCTTTTCTCCTCAACACAAACTTTAGAATTCTTTGCCTTCTTAGCCAATGTCTTGGTATCTGTTGCCTTGGTAGGATGTGCTTTTTGCAGGCTGGGGGTAGAGGGTTACCTCAGAGCTGGGGGTGTGGAGGAGGATGCATGCATTTAACCTCTTAAGTATACAAAGATGGAAAGTGTATGGCGGGGAAGATGAGTACTCTGGAGATAGGGTCTTCTCATGTTATCTGAAGCAGGCAGGAACTTTTTTACTTTGGCAAAGTCTTCCAAATAATTTGTGAGAAACCATTGCTGTTTTCTTGCACAGAGATACTGCATGACTAGATTTAGTGCACCAGGTGTAGCCATTTTTGAGTCAGTTTCATTTGGTCAAAGTAATCTTGACAGTTGGACTTCTGCAATGTTCCACACATGGGGTCACCCTTGAAGCATATCTGAATGCTTCAACTGATGCAAAATGTGGCAGCTGAGCAGAGCATCCTGATCACGTGATTCTAATGCAATCTGCCAATTATTTTCCTGGCTCACATTGTCTTTCACTTTCAAAGTCCTGGATATTTCAGGGATCACCTGTTTATGTATGAACCTGCTCAGTTATTAAGATCAGCAGGAAAGACCCTTCTGAAGATACTCTTGTTTACAGCTGTTTGTTTAGCTTGTGGAAAAGAGCTTTTCCATATGTTATTCCCAAACTTGAAAACACCCTTTGGAGTTGGGATTCGTCTGCATTCAGGAAGGAGGCCGTTTTAACTTTGCAATTTCAATTGTTATAATGGTAACATTTGTTTGTTTTACTATGTTTTTATAAACAGCATACTGTTTCAACTTTTGAATCACCTTGGTGTGTTATAAAAATGTTTGAAGTAGTGAAAACCAAACAAATAAACTAGGTTTATTTATAATGGTGTGATCCATGACCATATCTAAAGTTTCAAAATTAAATATGAAATATGAGAAGACCTAGGTTTTCACTGGGTCTCTTGCAGCACAAGAACTTCATTGGCAGCTGATGGAGCAAAGATTATGAGTAGGAATATAATGGGGGGAAAAGAACAGAGGGATAAAGGAGGTAGGGAAGACACAGAGGACTTTGAAAGTATGGATCGGGAACTTTTGCTGGATCCAGGAGTAGGCAGGAAACCAGTGTTAAGAATTTCAAGAACCAATGAAAGTCGGCCACTTTTTTCTGCAAGAAAAATGAACAGCTAGTTTTGGCTACATATTGAACATGGAGAATAACTGCTACAACTTACCACTCTCCTTTCAAGATTGACAAAATCATTTGTACACAGATGAGAATTAGTACAACTTACTCAGTTTGTAGCACATATAACTGCAGTTAGCTGCCATCTCCTCATGACTCCAAAACTTAGATAAAACCCTCTTCTATCCTGTTGAGCTTTGATTATTCAGTACAAGTGTAGATATGATTTAGTGCATGCTATAAACTTGAAAATACTTCTGAAGTCTTACCTTCAACTGGCAAATCACCTGCTGGCAAAGAATGCCAGGTATCCATTGTACCCAATTCCTAAGAGAAAAAACCAAGTTCTCTAGAGAAACAGCTTATACAACAGAAAAATATTTTGATGTGTATTTCAACTTGATTGCCTAAAGATGTGTACATACTAACCAGTATATTTTAAATTGTGTTACTTGTTACTGATCAAACACATACAGACTGCTTTTCATCTTAGAATTCTATGACCTACGTCAGGCAATGTCAGGAGGTCACAGGACTGCACCCTTGGTGTAGGTTTTATATCTATCTCCAATATTGTTGTTGTTGTTAGTCACAAAGTCGTGTCTGACCCATCGCAACCCCATGGACAACATTCCTCCAGGCCTTCCTGTCCTCCACCATCCCCCGGAGTCCACTCAAGCTCACACCAACTGCTTCAGTGACTCCATCTAGCCACCTCATTCTTTGCCGTCCCCTTCTTCTTTTGCCATCTATTGTTCCCAGCATCTTCAATAAAACAACACACAAAAAGGGAACCAAAAAGCCTTAAGAACACATTATAAAACATAATCATGCATTACCATCCTAGCAGAAAACAACATGTAGAAACAAAAAAATTCTTTCTTAACTTTAATATAGGTCCAATGAAATTTGAATGGGGCCAAGAAACAACTTTCCTTCTTGTTCTGTCCATCAAACAGCTGATCAGTGAAAGATTCAGGAATAGGACGGGAAACCTGGTACCCTACTGCTTTTCAACCTTTTTGTTAAAAATAAAATTTTGAAGGGGTCAGAATGTGAACGATTTGTGGGCACCATTGAAAGTCCTTAAGGAAGCATTAATAGTCAAAGGCACCATGCTGGGTAACCCTGCTTGATATTATAATGGTATGATCTATGACCACATATTTAAAGTTTAAAAATTAAATATTAAGTATGAGGAGACCCAAGTTTTCACTGGAACTGCAGCTTGAGAACTTCCCTGGGTCTCCCCCACAGCTGTGACCCTGACATTATTTCTCCCATTGTGACAATTGGCCTGAGGGAGAAAAACCTCCCTCTGGTGCTATTGAGAACTCTTTCTCTCAGGCTAATCGCTGTATTCTGGGGAATTTCATCAGAATTGTGACTAGGGGTAGCCAAAGAGTTGCTTCCAGGATATGGGAATGTAATTCAGCAATACAATGACATCTTTAAACAAGAATTATCTATTTAGGACACCGCTATGTCTAAAAAAACCTTCTAGAAGGAAGTCACTGCAGGGCATTTCCTCATCATGTGCCCTAATTATGCTCCTGTCACCCCACATCATCAGCATTTATGTCCATTTATCTGGCCCGCCTCCGAGGTATGGGACTTGCCGGGCGCGTGGCAAGGCGATGGCTTGCTCACATGGAGATCGTTTTGGACTTGCTTGGAGAAAATGATCTCCATGGAGAAAGCTGGCGCCTTGCCGTGCACGCACCTGGCAGCAGTTTGCTCGTGGGGAGATAATTTTAACTCACTCGGAGAAAACAATCTCCACACGAGCAAGCTGCTGCCTCGCCCTGCGCATCCCCCCGCCCCTCACCGGTGTGCGGCTCCCGCCGCCACTGCCTTGGCGGCCCACGCCCACCACCAGCACCTTTCAACTGACCCCCTGTTGAAAAAGTTTGAGGACCCCTATATTAGAGAATTGCCATTTTTTCTAAAATGTGCTATCAAGTCCAATATGTCCAAAAGAGCAGCTTTTGCTGTATGAGGTCCAATTTCAGGTCAAGGAGATGGACTGTAGGAAAGATACAGTGATACCTCGGCTCACGAACTTAATTCGTTGCATGACTCTGGTCGTGACCCAAATTGGTCCTGAGCCAAGTCAAATTTCCCCACAAGGTTTAGTGTAAATAAGGTTAATCTGTTCTGTAATCATTTTTTACAGATTTGAAACAAAGAACAAAGTAACAAAGAACAACAAAGATCCCAGCCATCTCCCCACCCCCGAGCACGACTGTAATCGCGGCCATCTCCCCCCACGAGCATGATCACAGCCATCTCCCCTCCTAAGCACAATCGCGATCACATCCATCTTTCCCCGCACGAGCATGACTGCAACTGCAGCCATCTCCCTGCCCCAAGCATGAGCACAATCGCACCCATCTTCCCCTGCACAAGCACGACTGCGACCATCTCACCACCCGAGCACTATCGCAGCTATCTCCCCCACCCCGAGCATCATGATCGTGATTGTGCCTGGGCGGGGAAGACAGGTGCGATCGCAGTTGTCACCCAATGCGGAGTTCGCGAACTGATGCAATTTTTTTCTGAAATTTCTGTTCGCGACCTGATTTGGTCGTGAACCGAGGTGTTCATGAGCCAAGGTACCACTGTATATGTTCAACTGGCATGGTTGGATGGGGTCACTCTAGTTCCACACTCCACTCCTGAGTGTCTGGATGTCAAGATGGCTGTATGTCATATCTTGTTGGATTCATTTTCATTGTAGAGCTAACCAAGCCCTCCAATGTTGGGAACTCCAAAGTAGTGAACACTGCTGTGCAATGTAAGGAATGGAGCATGTGTTTTATTTGAAGGTGTTGCTAGTATATGTTCTGGGGCAGCTGTAAATCCATAAATGAATGGGATTCACAGTCTTTGCCTAAGGATAGACCTCAAGTAAGGATACTCGGCCCACTGCATCCAGAGGAATAGTTGCCACTGCTATGAGACTCATACTACAGCGCTGGAAAGACAAATCATCTCCTTTAACCACACAATGGACTGAAGTCCTGAGAGAATATACTACCAATGACAACTTCATCTCAACATTCATTCCAACATTTGGTCACAGGAACTTTCAATCTATGTAGATGTAAATGTGTATGTATATATGTTTGTGCATGTGTGTATAATTAATTTACTGCATCTCTGTTCATTCCTATGTGACTGTATGTTTTTTCCCTTTTCTTTTTCTTTATATGTATTAGTATTTTTGCTTCTGTTTTGTATTCTCGGTGGTTTTGCACTTATGTTTGGTTTTGTTCAAAGATTGTAAAAACTAAAATAAAAACTATAAATACATAAATTGAGACTAGAGAGGTAAGAGTTAAACTTCAGCAAGACACAGTCCTCTAAATATGTAACCATTTGCACTAATTCTAGTCTTTGTGGTAACAAGCTAGGGTTTTTTGCATCTTAATCACTGACAGTTCATGGTATAATGCACATGGGGCTTAATACTTTCCACCAATTTCAAAGGGACAGAGGCAGGGAAGGGCAGTCAAGAGACACTTCTAATATTTTAGAAAGTTACTCTACCTCAGTTAGATTTGACTCCAGCTCAGGAAGCCTATGCCAAACATCTGCAGGACTGATGACCTCTTCATTCCCACTTGAAAGATTCAAGACCTTTATGTAAAAACAAAGTAGAGAGATAATTATTTGTACAAAGAAACTCTAGCCTCTCATGTGCAGAAAAAGTACCATTGAGATAACATGCACGTCAAACCATAGTTAGGAACAGTGATTCATCCAAGCCACCTTACCTTTGTGCCTTCGGCAGATAAACCTAGAATCAGAGCCTCGTACCATTGACCACCTGACCACACCATGCATTTGGAACCAGTATCAAATCCCTTTAAGTTGCAAATGATTTCTTCTTTATCTGCAAAAAATAGATATTATTTTTCAAGGATTCTCACACTGGAAGCTACAAACCAGAGAAATAAGATTAGCAACTGCAATCCAAACTGGCAATCACCAAGCAATATTATTAAAGTTTAAGGCTTTCCTCCCTTCACCTCAAGGTGGATAAAAATCAGTGATTAAAAAAATAAATAAATTGAAATTGTTAGTTAAAGTGAATGTTTAACTTAAATTAAATTTTTAAAAAATGAAATGCTTTTTGAGGAAAAAATCTATCTAGTTTTCTATTAAGATATATTACAGTCCAAAAGTTATCCATCATAAAATCTGGATTAATTTTTAGTTATGTACCATATGGCTGTGTATTCATGCAATGTTTAAATTTTTTGGTAAACAAATTCCATTAAACCATTCACAATGGCATGTTCTTCCAGAGATTTCTGTAAGATTATTGAGCAATTTTTCTAACTAGAAGATACTATCACAGATCCTTTGTTTTACAGTTCTTGAAACAGTGAATTTGTGTCTGCAGAGATCATGCATCTCTTCACAGCAAGAATGCTGTAAGATAAACATGCAGTTGAGAAGAGAGACCTTAATCCCATTGTTCCGTTGCAAATCTGTGTATACCTTAAGTGCTACATTTCAAAAAATTCAATGAATAGGAGAAAACTGCTGGGAGTGGAATAGAGCTGTACAAGAAGCTAAGTGTGAGGAGGGCGGGACAAGCAGTAAAAATGAAGCTTAAACCTTTGAATAGACTACTCCAATTTTTTGGATTTTTTTATGTATAGACTGAAGTTTGTCATATTATTCTTTCCCTGGAGGGGAAAGCCTATAATGGCAGCAGGCTACAAAGAGACCCAGTCTAGGAATATCTTAATGAAGTTACTCTACCTACAAGTAAGGCAGACATGCATGCAAATTATGTAGAAAACCATGATTTAAATTGACTCTTACTGATTAATGATTTAAATCAAACCCACTCTGCTTTACCTTAAGGCTTTCCTCCTTTTTTAAGCTGCCTGGTAGATATACTGAATCAATATACAGCTGGCATCCACATTATGTTATCAGGCCGCATGAACACTGAACTATTTTTGCATTTAATATTCCAAACATGGTAATTCGAAATGTACTTTCCCCCATTTTGGGGTGGTGCATGCATGCCTTAAGATGTAAGTGGGGAGGGAGCTGGCTGGCAGAGAGAGAGAGGACTGTAACATACTTTACATAAGGTTGTCTTTGGAAAGCTTGAACTTTCACCTGGTGCAGCATGTTACCGAAAACCAGCTAAATGCATCTAGTCCTCTGCGTCATTTTTTATTCAATTGCACTGGTCATCAATTTGCTTCTGAGATCAACTTGATGTGCTGATTATTACCATAAAAGTCCTAAATGGCTTAGAGGTAAAAAAATTAAGAGGCCTATCTCCCATCTTACATGTCTTGTAAGAGGCCTCTTGCATGTCCTGCCTTTATCTGAGGTAGATGAGATGGGAGGGCCTTTTCCATGGCTGCACCCAGCCTGTGAAATATCTTCATCTATCTTGCTCCCAATTTCATTACATCTTAAGGATCTATTTGGTTAGGAATAAACTGAAAGCTGACTATTTAGCCTTTGCACAGAGATTCCAGGAGTATTTTAAGGTGAGGAAGTTTGTAGCAGTCAGGGTGTAAAAAAGTGTGCCTCTTTTTGAGCAACACTTTACAGAGATCTTTTCTCTGGCAATTTCTAACCTCTTATGACATGCCTCTCACCTTCTTCATACTCAATACAGAGCTGGGATTATTTGTATGAATACAACCATATTTGCATTTGTTTTACCAACAAGAATACTGTGCTGTTGGGGACACTACTGTAGACACAATACAGTGGTACCTCAACTCACAAACACCTCAGCTCACAACCAATCGGGTCATGAGCAGAAATTTTGGCAAAATTTTGCCTCAAGTCACAAATTCTGCATCAGATAACGATCACGCTCACATCACCCTTCCCTGCATGGGTGCGATTGCGGATGTGGGGGGGGGGGGAGACAGCTGCGATCCTGCCTGTGTTCCCTGCTTGAGTGCAGCTGCGTTCATGCCCATCTATGGCCACGATCACAGTCACGCTCATGCAGGGAACACGGGCACAATCGTGGTCATGCTGGCGGGGGGGGGGGGAGATGGCCACAATCTTTGTTGTTGTCATTTTGCTTCAATTTTTTGTAATTAAAAAAAAGTTACAGAATGGATTAACCTTAAGTACATTGACATATGGGGAAATTTGACTTGGCTCACGACCAATTTGAGTCGTGACCAGAGTCGTGGAACAGATTACGTTCGTGAGCCAAGGTACCACTGTATTTGCTCCTAATAGTTGCATAGATGTGAGGATATTTGTGGATGCACATTCTTTCCTTAATTTTTTAAGGGGGAAAGGAACCTGGAACACGCAAGATGTTAGGACTACTACAGCTCCCATGCTTCCTAATCATTTGCTATGCTGACTGGACCAGAAGGAAGTAGGAGCCAACATTTGGGCAGCCACAGATTCTTTATACCTCTGTTGTAAAGGAAAAGCTACTAGCATACTTTCAACGTATAGTAAAAAAGAAATCCACACAATGATATATCAAACAATTTTAGTTAGGACCTACCAGCAGAAGATGACAAATAAGAGTGTATCACTAGCCTGGAATTTGGAAGTTTGCCGAAAGGTAAAGGTTTGACATTAAACCTTTACCCTGACATTAAAGCCCAGTCATGCCTGACTCTAGGGGGTGGTGCTCATCTCCATTTCCTAGCCAAGGGAGCCAGCGTTTGTCTGCAGACAGTCTCCGTGGTCATGGGGCCAGCATGACTAAACACCGAGGTGCACGGAATGCTGTTACCTGCCCACCGAAGTGGTACCTTTTTCTCTACTTGCATTTGCACGCTTTCGAACTGCAAGGTTGGCAGGAGCTGGGACAGAGCAATGGGAACTCACCCTGTTGTGCAGATTCAAACTGGTGATCTTTCGATCAACCAGCACAGCAGTTTAAACCACGGCGCCACCTGCATCCCCTTGCCATAGTTAGGAATGCCATTTTTCTGGAAAGTCAGCACATCTTGTGGCTACGGATGTGCCAGCAAGTGGATCCAAGAAAACCAGTGCTTTCAGTAAAAATGGTTCTATCACTAAAAATGGTTCTATAAAAGAAGCTAGTACTTTTAACTGAATTGGTAAGTAACAGCAATTCTGCTAAGCTTTGCAAGAAAAATATATATTCCAAAATTCACTGGCTGCTATCTATCGAGATATAAAACTTCTAAACTGGTAAAATGCAAACCCACTATTCTTCCTTCCAACAGCCACTTCTTCAAATAGTACTCTTGCCTAGCTAAATTTGTCAATTTAAAGTAAGACAAGCAATAAACACATACAGATTAATTCTGGCACTCAGCAAACCAACCATTAATGTCTTACCTGTATCGTAACTTGAAGTTTTAACTTGCTCTTCATCCAGCAACATACTTCTTAAAGAATCCTCCCCAACAAAATTGTCATCATAAGACCTTTCACACTTGCCATGGCTCTTCAGTGTTTCTACACAGCTCTTCTCCAGCGGAGTCTCCCATTCTAAGTGACGGGGTTTTATGCCATATTTTCCTGTTCCATGCACTCTCAGTAGACATTCATTGCAGAAGGATTCTTCTTCTAATTTTTTTGAAAATGATGACTTGATTACATTACTTGCAGAATGGGATACAGCAAGCAGTTCCAAAGGTAATGTATCTGCCATTGTTTTACTATAGTTTGGACAAGATTGCACTTTGGGTGTTTCTAGTTCCAGCAGCAAACTATCAGTTGTGTCTGTTGATGAAGGGCTCTGTTCTAATTCCCCTTCCATGTGTGCTACTTCAAGCAAGTTCAATTCTGAACACTCTGAATCATCACACTGGGAAGGACTCAATTCAGTTATCTCCAGTTCCAACATTTCTTCAGCTGAGTGCATTCTTAGTATGTCTAGTTCCAGCTGCTGCTGCTTGGTGTCATTTGATGCAGGCAGCGTTTCAAGGTGATCTTGTTTCAAAAGCATCCCCATTTCACTAGTAACAGGAGCCTGCATTTCAGAAGCATCCACAGAAAGTAGGTTATCACTTTCTTTTTCAGATATATAACAGTCTCTTTTATTATGAAATGTTTCAGTTATAGTTCTTTGGTTCCCCTTATGAACTGCTTCAGGGATAGTTTCATATACGTGTAAAGTCAGAGAAAATGCGTCCAATGAAATTGTGCTCCTTGCATCAACTACTGCTTGAATTTCCGCAGAACACAATACATCTTCTGAAGCAATGGTATCTTTGCAAGGCATGAATGAACAAGCAGATGCTTTCATTTCAAACAACTCACCCTCTGAACTCTCTTCCTCTGTTTTCTTCTGTCCTTCTGGCTTGTGAATATCTCCCAAGTTGGAACCAGGGTTTTCAACATTATGTTTCCAAAAGGGTTTCATTTGCTCATTGAGACATATATTTTGACACTCCACTTTAACACTAAATAAAGGGATTTCTAAAGGACCATAATTTTGTTTATCAATGACTGTAATGTCCAGTGGAGAATCAGCTAATATATCACCAAAAATTTTACTTATTCCTTCAGTCCATGAACCTTCTGCAGAATTAAAGCCAAACAGAGAACACAGAAATGCTTGCGGTGGTATTGATAATAGCTCATCAGAAATTTGTCTGATCATCTTTGTACTAACAAAAGCTTCAGTTCCATAATCAACATCAATCACTGACAAGGTATTCCCTTTTATATTTCTAACAACTGCCCGGTAAAATGTATCATCTTCATTATTCTTTGCTAGGCAAGAGTATCCATGTGCAATATTCTCCAAGCTGATTCTTGAAAGGTCTTGAACCTCCTCAAGCTTCCTTTCAATTGAATGAATAACATCTGCATCAAACAACCGACACCAAAAAGATTCTGGGCTCTTTACAGTAACTGACAAGGTTTTTACAGTTTCACCTATATTAGGTATCTTCCAGACAAATGATTTGGCATCTGGAATACTTGAAGCGTTGCTATACTCAGACAGATGATTTTCACACAGGTTTGTCAGGTCAGCTTTGCAATCTATCTTGTCAGTTGTCTCCACCAAAATAGATTTTTTGTATACTGGGTACCTATTAGCCAAATCCACTGTCACATTACCATTTTTGCCAAAAAGCAGAATTGCCCATTTGCCCTCAGTTTCTACTACAAATTCGCTGTTCATTTGAACCTCACTTGTCATTTGGAAAAAATACTGTACAGCTTCCTGTGTCCATTCTGTGATCTTAATTCCATGCAATGTACAATGAATGCTCATCACTGGGAAAGAGAGACAGTCCTCAAGAAGTCTACATGTTTTGCAGATGTTAACTACTGAAGTATTGCCATAATCAATATACTGCACACTCAGAAAGTCATCAGTGCTTTCTTTATTAACTACAGCACGATACCTTAAACCATCTTCTGAAAAATCTGCACACAACAGGTCTCCTATATGGACTGACTGCCCCTTTAGGTTTTCAACTGTTGTAGGATTGTTTAATTTTTCTGAAATACTGTCAAGCAGAGGCTCATCTTCTACTAGCTGAACATAAAAATCAGAAGGATTATTTATATGAGAAACATACACCATTGTTTTAAGACCAGGGTATATGCTTTTCTGAGGTAAGCCACACAGCTTTTTAAGTGAAGAATATGCATTAGCTTCAGTTAGGTTTCTGCTTTTATTTTCAGGTATCTTCTCTTGCATTAGAGAGCATGCACAGTTACTGGCCTTCTTACTTTCCTCAGAATCATTTCTGTTAAACTCTTCTGCTGTCCCTGGAAACTTTGCCATCTTTCTTTCCTGCTGCAATTGTATTTCCTGTCTGTGCACACCACTGTCTGTGCTACTGCCCAGTATTTCCAGATTTTGAGCGCTCCTCCTTTTGCTCTCAGATTTGATAATGCCTGTCAAAGGCCAATTCTTTCCTGTGGCTCTTCTCCTAGAAAATGAAGTTTCATTTTCCACTACACCAATGCCACATTGCAAACCTAAACCCTGTCTCAGTTTTGCATTGATTTGCATTTTACCATCATATAGTTCAATGATCAGTTTTCCATCAGGTTCTTTAGCTACAATCAAAGCTTTTAATTGCTTATCTAGTACTGCTTTTTCAAACCACACAGCAGCATCTTTCTGTACATCAGCAATGTCAGAAAGAGAGCATTTTATGGCTTGCATTGGCAAAAGCAGTAACTCATAAGCATCACTCGGTACTACAATCAGGTCTTCATCCCTAAACAACTGTGTATTCCCAAAATCCACAAAGAAAACTTCTTTGGTAGTTTTTGCTGAAGTCACTATAGCCCTGTACCAGCAGCCATCTGTATACTTTGCAAGATACAAATTTCCGGGGGCCCGAGATGTTTTCAAGCTGTGCCCCATTTTGTTGAGCTTATCAATGTTAGAAGCTAATTGTACAAGAACATTTTCACTTCTAGCAAGTTGACAATAAAAAAGACAAGGATCATTAACATGTGTAACATAAACCACTTCTTCACTGCCTATTTTGATGTCATGTGTTGAATAATAGTATGACAGAAGATGAACTGATGGTATCAGGGGCTTCTGTGGCTGTACAGGTCTGGCTAGACCCTTTCTTGTTAAAAAATGGCAAACACTCTCAAAAGGTGTAATTAAGTCCACAATATTAACAAGATGTGTTTTATTTAATGTTGCTAAAGCAAATATGGTACATTTTAGTTCCAATCTGCTTGCTGAATTCACAAATTCAAAAAAAGCTTCAGTGGCTTTTTCATCCCAAACAAAAGGATTCTGTCCCTTTGGCTGAATTAAATTGTAAAGGCTACATCTGAAAGCTTGGGCTTCCAAATATAAAAACTCAGTCTTAGCTGCACAAATATTCTCCAGTGAAACACATTCTTTATTCCCATAGTCAACATAGGCAACTTCAACTTCTGTAGCATTTACCTTATTAATTATGAGAGCTCTGTACCATTTTTCATCCTCTGAAAACTTAGCCAGACATACAGGATTTGGCCAGTCATGGGGTTCTGCTGAATGAATACAGTAATCCTGAATTTTAGTCATAAGTACCTTCAAGTCTTGGGAACTCTTAGCTAACTGGCACCAGAAGAGACTAGGATTTTCTATATAGGATACTATTACTTCTACTGTACTTCCAACATTCAGCTGCTCATTACAAGAAAATCCTGGCCTTATTTCAGAGTAGTTTTGCATATTACAGGACAAAGAGTTTGGGATAGTGCTAGAATCCTCTTTTACAGTGACACTGGGTTGCAAATAACAAGAGCATTTGCTAATGTGTGAGCAGTCATGTTTTCTTGGGTGGTCTGCTTTGTCTTTTATTAAAATTCTCAGAGACCTTTGCCCCACACCCTCTCCTTCTGGGCCCTTCCCCAATGGCTTATCTGTGATTTTCTGGAGAGTCTCTAGAACTTGATCTTCATGATCCTCAGCATACATATCCTGGGACATGATTTTACCTACATTTTTTTCTCCTACCAGAGAATGATCAAACAGTTCAACTGTGTAAGTATCTCTTTGCATGCCTAGGACTTTGATCACCACTTCCTTGTTCAGTACAGCTTTTCTAAAATAATCTACAGCATCTGAACTCCATGATTGATTTGGGGAAGGAATGGCTAATGTACATCTGAGTGCTACAGCAGGAAGTTCTCTAAACTGGGGAAGCAGCTCCTTCACTTGATACAAATCAACTATTTCAGTATTTCCCTGGTCAACAAGATATACTTCAATGCTCTTCCCTTGCACTTTGGTGACAACAGCACGGTGGTAGGAGTTCTCCTTTAGTATGACACAGCACAGGGATCCTGGCTTGAGCTTTCGAAGAATACCCTCCAGTTTCTTATTCTTAGAGTAGAAGTCACTTAACTTCTGTTTTAGATGACAGAGTGGCTGACAATGCTCCAGGAGGTGCACCCAGAATTCTGAAGGGTCTTGCAGAAAGGAGACTTCAGCAGTGTGGCACTCTCCTGCCTTCAGACACACAACAGGAAGTGGTGCAGCAGCTAGTGTGGACAACATTTCTAACAGGGAGCCAGGCTCCTTCTTGGCTGAAGTCCCCATGTGCTCCAGTTCAGTCAAGGCAGATGTATACTCTTGACTGCTGTGCAGGAAACACTGGGTCAGGCAGTGTGCTTGCACTCCATAGAGGCAGTTAAAGTTGAGACCATCTTCCCCATAGAAGGTTACATAATAGAGATGCTCTAAAGGACAAAAAGCTTCAATGGCGGCTTGCATCACCTTGCCCAACAGTAATTTTTTAAGTTGACTGACTTGTGAACAGGTCCATCCACTACCTCCATCTGTAATATTATACAATGAACAAGCGTAGGTGACTACTGGCATGCAAAAAAACTCAGCAGGCAAATGCCGCACATTTCTCTTTGTCACAAACTCCTTCCTGCCATAATCCACATAAATCACTTGGGCAACTGCTCCTGGCTGATTTTCTGGACCCCCACCAAGGTATATCCCTAGCAGCAGAGCTCGATACCAACACCCATCTATGCCTCGGGCTGCACAGGGAGAACCCGGTGTGGGCAAAGATCCCTGTAAGTCTTTTGTCTTGGATGCTTCAAAAGATTGGTGCATGGCATGTGAGAGTTTCTGGATCGCTTTGGAAAAGCTGTGCAGCTGGCAGTAAACTCTACATGGATCGATGATTTCAGTCACTATCACAGGCTCAATCACATTCAACTTCAGCTGTGGATAGATATAATCCAAACTAACATGATCTTGCTGAGACATGGTAATAGGGGTAAGAATGGGTGGTTGGGGTTCAGAAGGCAATTCTGTCAGAAGAGAAGTAAGACCAGAACCTTGGAGGGAAATGCTAAGCAAGGTGCTGAAGGTACTGGGAGATATCTGGCAGGCAAGCCCCAGTTGGCACATCTGTGCCAGTAACCAAGGCAACTCCAACACTACCAGATGCTGAGGGATGAGCACCTCTCGGATAAGGCCAGACACCACCCTGCCCTGCAGGTAGCCCAAAAGTTCTGCAGCACTAGCCGTCCAGCTGGAACTCGGCATTTCAGACCCCGGTGTGGCAAGTCCCTTGGACCCTCCGGCAGCATTCAAGGTGGCGCCTACCTGCCTGGGAGGGACCAAGTCGGCAAGGATGCAGCTCATCACCTCGGGAGGCAGGTGAAAGAGCTCGCTAGTCCCCCGCGCCAGGTAGTGGGAGGTGACGGGCAGCGTGTGGCCTTCGTCGAGCAAGAAAACGCGGTAGGTTTGGCCCAGTCCGCGCTGGCGGTTCACTACGCGGCAGCGCTTCCACCGCCCCGCCAGCTCCACCAAGCACAAGTCTCCCGCCGCCAGGGCGTCTCCGCCGTCGGGGGTGGTCGCCAAGCGCGGCCCACTCTTGGCCTGGATTTCCTTCGCCAGCCGCAAGTATTCCTCCCTCCGCTTGCCGGGAAACCCCCACAGCCTCACCAGGGGAGCCTCGGGGCGGACTTCCACGAAGGAGACCCGCAGAGCCATCCTGCAGCCCGGCCTGGGCAGCGCGGAGCACATGGCAACGGCCGCCTCGACAGCACCCGACCGCTTCCGCCGGGTCTCCTCTCCTTCTGCGGGACACGCCAGCAGTAGCGGCTAGTCGCCTTAGCGAGCGCCGCGTGATCTGCGGCGCTGCGAAAGGCCGCCGCCCAGGCACGCCTAGGATTTCCGGCGGCAGAAACCGTTGAATCGGGCGCCCACGAGGCCGACACGTGATCCGTTGCGGGCCCCTTCGCCAGACCCGCCGAGCTGTCCCCGCTCACTAAGGAAAAGGCCCGCAGGGAAGGGCAATTACGGAGGGGTGTGGTGCTGGCTGGGCGCGAAAGGGGCTGCGAGGTTGCCGTGCGCCTTTGTCCCTTGCAGCTACGCAAAGGACCTCTGGAGATCCAGTGACGGGATCCTGACTGCTCTGCAATCAAGACAACTGGAATGTGTTGTCTCTGAAGGGTAACGTTACATAAACTATAACGGCCATTTTAAAATTTAATGCACATTTGTGTCAATGCAGGAATGTTAAAATTGGCTTACTGTGCAATCATATTCAGACGGGAGTTCCACTCACGGAAGTGTTGTTCCTGGAAAGTGTATAGTATTGCAGCCTTAAACTTCATTTATAACTAAAGCTTCAAATGGAGAGGGTGTATAACAGAGAACCCATATTAATCAAGTCAGAGGCAGAAGACAAAGTGAAGGCCAAATATGAGAAGGACTGAATCCATAAAGGAAGCAACAGGCTTGGACTTGGAATAGCTGAACGGAGCTGTCATTACCAGGAAATTTTGGAGGGCTTTCATTCATGGGGTTGCCATAGGTCAAAGATGACTTGATTGCACATAACAAATCAACCCCTAGATGCCTAAAACCCATCTCAAACATCATGCAGTTTTCTAGAACAGCAGCTTCCAAATGAGCCAAGCTAACCAAATTCATCAGTCACACCTGACAGTAGACATCATGGAACCCTAGAACACAAGCCATCAGTTGCAGAGTGGCTGGGAAGCCACCTCATCCCCCACCTTGCAAGATTCAGAGGACATGCAACTCACATTTAGCATGAGTGAAGTGAATTACGGAAGTGAAGTGGTATGTGGCCATCATGTGCAAGTCAAGGAAAAGAACTGTGAAACCAGTCACTACCTTTCTTAGGAATGGGTAGCATGGCCTTTATGACTAATAATTTTGGTCCTTCTAGACTGTTTTAAAAAGGCGTTACCCTGTTTATTCACTTCAAATGGTAGTGAACACACCTTCTGGCTCATGGACCCCTTCTGGCTTTCTCAGATCAAGAAGTATGGGCAGCTCAGGATGCTACAGAGTTATGGAAAATAGGGAGAGAAATAGAAAGTAATAATAGATGGCAATAAGTATAAAAGAAAGGAAAAAATACAGAGAATCCCTCGCCATTTTGCTCAAAAGATAACCTCAAAAAATACCATTGAAAGAAATCTTGAAACATCCTGTCTGTGAGTCAGTACAACAGACACTGAGGAAGAAACTTGCTGGAAGTTGGAGCAGTACAGTAGTTGCAGAACTTTGGTATGTACACGCTAATGATTAATGATTAAATAAAATGTCACCAAGCCAAAGCTCATACTTTATCAAAATACCTTGATTAGGTAAACCAGATGTTCAGTTGACTTGAGGTGGGTGTTCTGTTTGTTATGAGAAATTCACTGTTTCTCAAGATTGTCCATAACTTAACAGTACAAGAAAAGTTTAATGCATATCTAATCCAGCATTTGTTTCTCCAGATGTCTGTGGGACGTCCACAACCTGGACATGAGGGTTTCTCCCAGGGTGGTGAACCACCCCTTCATCTGTACAGTGCAGCGGGCAGGAAGGAGGCTGATCAGCATGTGGCAAAGGCATGACAGCCTTGGGCTGGAGGCCTGCAAAGAGTGCATGTTGAAATATGCAGCATACGCCACCCTCTGTTGGATCTTTCTTCCCAGCAAACATGGGGATCAGAAACTTGGGGTACTTGGGAGGGAGCATGAAAAGAAGCCAGTAGTCTTGTGGACTGGGATGGATGCAGGAGATCCTTTAGTCATGGCATTTGCCTCCCTACCCACCAGAATCCCCACTCCACGACTATATTAAGGTCACTGTGTAATCTCAAGCAGCCACCACAATTCTTTCCATGGCAGCTGTGAGGGGCAAGAGAAGGCAGACAGGCTTTTCCTACTGAGGTCATGGGAACGTTGGTGGCCACCAGTGGGGCAATCTGAAACAGAGCGTTGCTGTCGTGCTTTTTGTTCATTCTGAAACTTCTTTGGCAGTAGTGTCAATCCTGTGCCTGTGCCATAGGAACCATGCAGCTGAGGGGCGGCTTGGTTTTGTATAGGGAGCATTTAGTATGGTGGCAGCAGTTAAAAATTTATAGCAGAGAGGGCAGCTATTCTGAAATTTAACTAGGAACATAATTAAAACTGTGGCAGGGAGTTCCACAGATCTAAACTACTACTACTACTTCTTTTGTAAAAGCAGAAGTGCTATAATGTTTATGTTGCTCTGTCACAGATCATGACAGTAATGAGATAATATGCAATGTTTCTCTCATATGTAGGATTTAAAACTACTTTGATTGACTTGGTACAGCATCCAACAAGCCCAGAAACACAGGATTATATGACAAGTAGCCCTGTGTGGATATCAAACCATGATATCCACACATTTTCATTTTTTACTCTTACATGATCTGTCCAACAGAAAAACATGATTTCTAGGTTATTGTGGTTTCCATCTCCCCACTCCAATCTCTAGCTGCTGACATGTATCCCATGTGGCTGTAATTCAATACAAAGATGTGTTGTTTTCCTGCCTGTGTCAGCTGCATCTTCCCAATTAGTCTGCAAAGTTCCCAGGAAATGTCCTTTGTTACCTCTTCCTTTTATTACCTTCCCCCTCCTGCCATCCCTCAACCAAATCTGCCTTTTAATTAATTAACCTTCTCATAGAAAGCGCTGTTTTTGCAGTGCTCCCTCTCCCAACTTGCAGTGCCTTCCCCCACTCGACCTTAACAATCAGGCACAGAAGCATGTCTTTTTTTGTCAGCCCCTTCTCCATGCCCTTCTCCAGCAACCTTTGCCTTTGGACTCCCACTCCCTCTATCCCTTACTCTCTCCCTGCTTCTGGGAAGCTGGCTTGCCTGGCACATGGAGTAGCTAATGCATGTCCAACTTCCGTTCTGGAGAGCTGCCACCATTGCAAGGGAATAGAACTGTGGGACCAGGCTTCCTGTGACTTGGAGTCCCTGTCCTAGTGGGGCCCTGCATCGCCATGCTGTCAAGATCAGTGCTGCTGCTCCTGCTCCTGCTCCAGGGGCTGTTGCCTAGGTGCAACAGACTGGAGAACAGATGACTGTTGAGAGCCAAAGTCTATGACTTCTTGTTCAAACTCCAGTTCAGATTTCATTTGCCTGGAAAAGTAGTCCACACTGCTTCTAGGGAGCATCCAACTGATCTCACAGGGTTGATATTGTGGGGATAAATCTGAGAGCAGGAGGAGGAAAATTATGTCAGTCACCAGGAGTTCCTCGAAAGGAAAAAAGGTGGTATATAAATGTAATTAATGAATGAAATCTTCTCCCTACCTACCACATCCATGTCACAGTCCATTTCCCAAAAGCCAGCCTCTCACCATTCCCAGGGAACTTCAGACAGGAAGGCTGCACCCAGCCAGACACTCTGGTCTGTCCCTTGCACTGGTGTCTACTCTCCCAAGAAGAGCAGATACTGCCAAACAGGCTAATACCATCCCCCAACCTGTTCTCCCAAACCACTGCAGCCTTGCAACCCACTTCTCGGCAATCCTTTCTTGATGAAGCTGTGTCAACGACAGAGAAGCAGGCAGTGCAAGTCCCACAAGACACTGCACACCTACTTTTGGACCAAAGCACAACTGGACACATTTCTTGACCTATGGGCCAGTGGGAGTGCTGGAGGTAGCATGATAATCTCTCCTGTGTTTCTGGAGCAACTACAGCCCCACTGCAGTGCAAGAATAAATTGCATGACCTCAGGAAGAGGTTAACGAGATCGTGGCACACAGTAAGCATGTCAGGAAAGCCTGCAGAACCATGCCCTTTTATGACACACTTTGTCTTTCTGAAAATATATGCATTTTCCCTTTTTGGGGGGGGGGGGCGAAGACCAAGAAAGATCCAAAAAATGGAAAATTCAGAAGTTTTTTTTTGACTATTTCTTCTGTGTTCCCCTGCTCCTGCCCAGTTTTTCACATCCTTAGGTCAAAGAGATGTATCTCTGCAGCACCAACACAATCATTTTAATTATAGCCACCCTGCTTAGGGTTTATATACTCCTAGAAGTGTGTGTCTCTGTTCTGCATTTCTGTTCCTCTGGGAGAATTTTCCTCTTAGATAGTTACTTCAAACCTGCACTCTTTTCAGTGGTCAGAAGAGACTCTGAAAATTCATATGGCATATGTCTACTTTTCCCCTCTTCCACCGATGGGGAACGCGTGCCACCCCATTTCTGACCTGCGGGTCAGATAAGAGTATGCTGGGATAGGATTGCAGTGGCATCTGTCACCGTGGCCCCTGCATAACTCAGTTTCACCCATCTGGTGGGGTTTCCCTCATACCCCCTCAGCTATGACATCTTGAGAACAGGACCAAGGCCTTGGGGCTGCATGCAGTGTTTGCACTCTGTGGAAAGAAGGCATGTTCTCTTGTGTGAACACGGCAGTCCCTCTAGGATCAGCTGGTACTGTGGGGACTCATTTTCTGCACAGAAGGAAAACAGTAACATCTGGCTTTAGGTCAGGGTGTTGTGGACCCCTCACTTTGTGATGCAAACACCCCTCAATTTGTAAAGCAAAGTTAAAATGATTTCTAGGCTGTCCTTAAGGGCAAAACCCTCTCCACTGTTCGTCTGCTGGGCGTTGCTCAGCTTGCATGCTGAATGAGGCAGCAGGAAGATGTGTGCCAGAAAGGGCGTGGTGCAAAAAGCTTTGGTAGCAGGAAAAAATGCTTTGACACCTCAAATTCAAAGGAAAACAGGCTCCTGTGCCCTCTACTATGTTTGCAAATTGGGCAAACACAGAGAAGAAACTATTTTCTAGAACTAACAAAAGTCCATTTTTTGAGACAAAATTCCTTCAGTTCCTCCCTAAGGTTTCTAGATGATGACGTTTGACTTTTTGTCATAGTAACCAGAAGGAGGCAGCAGTATATAAAAGATTTTCTGTTATATTGAAGTTACTTTGGAACGACAGTGCAGCGCAATCAGGTCAGAAAAGCAGGACGTTTTGAAGGACTAAAAGATGGGCATAGCTGTTACTATCCTGTTAACAATGGTTGTTGGGCTGGTTTTCACAATCGTGTTGTCACGGTGGTCCAGAAACCGTAACGAACCACCTTGCATCCGTGGCTGGATCCCCTGGCTGGGGGCTGTTTTCCAGTTTGGGAAAGCTCCGCTGGAGTTTGTAGAGCAAGCCAGACTCAAGGTAACAATTAGGAGGGGCAGTCAAAGGGGAGGCGGATAAAGCTTAGCAGAATAAAAGAAGCCTCTTGTATTAGCCAACAATTAATATGATTTGCATTAAGAGATTACTGTCAAGGTATTAATTATACCATGTGAATTACTTTGCTACAAAAAGCATAATGAAAAATTTGCTGAAAACAAGTTCCTTTGTTTGCATGCATAATGCAAAGGGCTTTCCATCTGTGGAATATATAATGGCAATGAACCTATCTGAGTTCATTAAAAGCATGCATGAGTTTAGAGGGTATTTCCAGAAATCAACACAACACTGTGTGTGTAATGAAAGCAATTGCCACAACTGCATTGAAGTGTTAGTTCCAAGCAGCCATTTTTCCATGTTGCATTACAATTTTATTGTTTAATGTTTGTATTGCTTAATTATTGCTTGGCTATTTACTCTTTGTATTGCTTAATTTTGAAAAGAGATAGGGAATAAACTGCTTTGAGTAATCTCTGTAGCTTGGTTTGCACTAAGCAAAGCATGAAATTGTACTGAAAATGGGCATATGGGAGCACAGTTTTCAACTTCAAGGAAATTGCAAGGATATTCCTGTGCAAGGAAACTGCTTTTCTTTCCTTATGTGCTTAAAAATTATTTCTACATTGCATTTATAGCCTATCTTTTTGTTTCTTGTGAGGGACCCAAGGTAGCTACACAGCTCCATTTTATCCTCACAGAAACAACCCTGTGGGGTGGGTTAGGATGAGACTGAGTGACCTGCCAAAAGGCACCCAGTGAGCTTCATGGCTGAGTGGGGACTAGACCCTCAATCTCCTGAATCCCAGTCCCACACCCTGACCCCACTATATCATAATGGCTCTGTGGAATAATTGTTGGATACTGGAAAAATTCTGCTTTAATGCTGTGCATATAGGTGGTTGCAAAGTAACACGCTAGTTACTGTGCATTTTTCTTGTCCTGCATTAATCCCAATTTTAAAAAATAACTATACAGGTGTTACCAACAGCTGGAGCAAGCCCGGGTGGACTCCAGACCCAAGCCAAACAGAGCCTGAGACAAGACTTAGAGCCAAAATCAGCTTTATTCTAGTGCACTGTAGAATAAAGGGAGACAAAAGGGGACATTCAGCCCAAAGCAGTGTCTCAAACGTTGCACCCCAGTACATGCATTTTATACCCTAGGTAACCAATTAGGTCACCTAATACACATCTAATGCATCGATACATCAATGTATCCACCCCCTCCTGTGCTGGAGAAAGAGTCCTTTCTTCTGTCAAGGACCAGACTATTTCTTACCTGCTTGAGATTCACACAGGCTTGCCATGTTCTTACTCCCTGTACATCTGTAACTTTCATGGCGGCTAGAACCAGTTTCCACTGTCCCTTTGATTACTGTATTCGAGGTCAGGCTAGCGTGTTAGCTGTGGGTTACGCAAAGTTCATTTTGTTCTTATTTGCCCTCCCTTCTGGGACAGTATAACTGTGGTGTTTTTACTATGTGGCCTTCCTCTGGCCAACTGCTTTTGGGGCCTTTCTCTGGCCAATTACTTTTGGGGTGTTTTGGGGTACTGCAATTGGCAACACAAGGAACAATTGAGAATGTGCTTTCCCATGAACTGTAAATAATATATTGGTAGAAATCTTCAAATTACAGTTTCAGTGCATTGTCATTTGCCTCACTGGAGCTACTCAGAAATGAGGGATTGAAACCTGACTACTCTTGGGATTTTTGAATCAGTAGCTAAACTCTTTTTAGCATACAACTGTATACCTGCAGAGTGTGCATGTTCTCAGCACTAGGACTGATTTGATTTATTGCCTCAGTATATACCAAAAAGGCTTGCATTTGAAAAGATGTCAAGTGTGCTGTGTCAGGAGCATATGAATTGCATTCTGAAAAGATCGCGTTTTTGAAAATGCTTAATTCAGGAAGTTGCACCTCACTAAGGGAATGTGGGTCATATCCACAAGGGTTTAACAAAAAGATCATTTTGATTGCTTAGGCATGAATGCCTCCTTTTGTGCTCTTCCTCTTGTTTCTTGGTAACAAAAGCATTCCGGGCGCTTTTGCAAAGCAAAGCAGCCTGGCACATGAGCCTGAAGTGCCTGGCTACAGACACTCAGAGACAAGGCTTGCTGCTGAGGCTATCTGCAAATCAGGGGCCCCATGCTCCCCACATGCAGCACGTGTGTAGGAGCTGTCTGAGCAGCAGCAAAGCCAGAGCCATGCCCTCTTCAGATTTTTCCCTAATTCAGTAATGGGGCAGAACCTCAGAGTTGCAGTCTGATCCAAGAGTGATCAGCTCTAGACTTGGTCAGAGCAAGTCCTGGTGCACTTGGAGTAATCTAGGGTCCTACCTTTGCACCCCAAAGTTACTGTTGAATGAGTGACTGTCCATCATGTTCATTTGCTATAAAATATGGCATAGGTAAGGAACCATTTTCAAACGAAAGGCCAAATTTCAGTCTGCCAGAGATCTGAGGGAGTGCTCAAATGCAAAGTGGGTATTGCAAAAATGTTAGTTTGAGCAGTTTGAAGCGTACATAAGTAAGTTAGTCAAGCCTCATCATGTCTGCTCTGAAGTGAGCAGGACTGAATCACTTGGTAGCATTTCAGATGGCAGCCCAAATACCATTCCAAGATGGCATCTTGGAATGAAACAGGACTGAATTACTTGCTCAGCAGTTTCCTCCCCTTGCCTCATTCCTGGCAGGAAAAACTTCCCAGTCAGTGGCTGGTCAGGCATGCAAGCAAATCCCTGTTAGGCACTGAGGAAAACACTGCAACTGTTTTCAGTGTGCGGTGGATGCAGCTCTGATGTCTAATCAGCAAAAAAACAGGAAGAGGGCAGGGCCTGGAGAAGAAATTGGTGGATTGGGTGAGCAGTCAATGTGCACTGGAAGTTTCCAAGGTCTCAGATGCAGGAATGCCCTTCTCAGCCCTTTTAGACATAGAACTAATTGCAGTATAGTTCTGTGGCAGCAAGGTCACTTTGCACAGACTCAGAATCCCTAAGATTAAAAGTGTCTGCAAACTCCTCTGATTTTAAATCAGAATGAATGGAAGCTACTTCCACTACAAATTGGTTCTCAAGTGGTCTTTGTACATTCAAACTGGTTTTCCTATTTTATGGAATAAGAGATCAGGATAAGCATTGACTTAGATGCTTCCGGTTCATAATACTCACCTTAACGTTCAGTAATGGATTAGTTGGCATACAGTGGTACCTTGGCTCATGAACTTAATCTGTTCCAGGACTCTGGTCGTGACCCAAATTGGCCATGAGCCAAGTTAAATTTCCCCATAAGGTTCAATGTAAATAAGGTTAATCCGTTCTGTAACCATTTTTTAAATCAGAAAAATGTGAAGCAAAGTGACAATAAAGATCGCGACCATCTCCCTGCCCCCGCCCCCAGCGCAACTGAGGTCGCTTCTGTCATCCCTGCAGGCGCCCGTCATTCTGATGTGCTGGGGGGTGGGGGGGAGAGACGAGCGCAATTGTGGGCGCACTGGGGGAGGAAGATCCGGGTGCAAACGGGGTGCGCTGGGGAAGGAGAGATGGGTGCGATCTCGGCCATCTCCCCACTTGCGGGGTGGGGAGATGGTCGCGATCGTGCTGCCTGGGGGGGAGTGGCTGAGATTGCGCCCGTCTTTCCTGCAGGAGCGTGCCTGTGATCATGCACGCCTTCCCTGCATGAACACAACTGCGATCTCAGTCACCTCCCCACCCCGCCGAGTGGGGAGATGGCCACCATCGCAGTTCTGTTCATGCCGGAGAGATGTGCGTGATCACAGGTGTGCTTCTGCAGGAAAGACGGGCGCAGCACATCACAGCTGTGGGGGAGATGGCTGGGATTACGCCTGTCTGTTCTGCAGGAGCACGCCTATGATCACTTTACCTTCCCTGCACGAAAGCAACTGCGATAGCAGCCATCTCCCCTCTCAGGGTGGGGTGGGGGAGATGGCTGCGATCAAGGTCGCCACTCAATGCGGAGTTCGTGACCCAAGTCAAATTTTTAATGAAATTTTTGTTCATGACCTGATTTGTTCGTGAACCAAGGCGTTCGTGAGCCATGGTACCACTGTATTTGCTAAGATAATACACCTCTCTAGAATAAACAAAACATAAACCTGTGACTGAAATATGTATTTTTTACAATATTTTTTTTGCACTCCAAGTGTCATAGAATCATAGAATAGTAGAGTTGGAAGGGTCCAGAGGGCAATTGAGTCCAACCCTGCTCCGTGCAAGACCCAAGTTAAACCCAGAGAGCATGATGCTAACAGGCAGCTTTTAATCAAATCAAATCAAATATAAAACATTCCTCTTAGGTGGCTATCCCATTGTGTCCTGAATTCATCTAGGATGGGAAAGCCCATAACTTCCCTAGGGAATTGGCTGCATTGCTCTAACAGTCAGGACATGTTCCTTGATGTCTAGCAGGAATGTGGTTTCCTGCAACTTGAGCCTGTTATACCATGTCCTGAGCTCTGGAATGATCGAGAAGAGATCCTGGCCTTCCCCTTTGTGGCATCCTTTCAAGTACTTGCAGAATGCTATTGTATCTCCCCTCAGACTTTTGTTCTGAAAGCTAATGCCCAGTTCTTTCAATCTCTCCTCCTTTCCTAATTTTTCCAGTCTCTGGATCATCTTTGTTGCCTTCCTCTCAACCCTTTCCAACTTGTCTCTTTTAAAACTGTGGTGTCCAGAACTGGACACAATATTCTAGATGTGGCCTAACCAATGCTAAGTATAGGGGAACTAGTATTTCATGGGATTTGGAAATGATACTACTATTAAAGCATCTTTAAACTGTATTTGCCCTTGTTGCAGCCTAATCACATTGCTGACTCATATTTAGCTTGTGATTTCCAACAGTTCCAAGATCCTTTCCACTTGCAGTATTGTTGAGCCAAATATTCTTATAATGCTTATATAATCTTACAATGATTCATGCGGTTTCTTTTTCCTAGGTGCAGAAATTGGCATTTGTCCCTG